TAATAATAATGTACAGTACAGTGAACCCATATGTAACTATTTAGTAAACAGGCTCAAGCAAGATTTATTCACATCTATCTTGGACACAACATCTAGTGTCTAAAACGAACAAAACAAGTTACTCCTGTCATTTGTACTGTAGTGTATCAGTTTATATCTAATTATCTTAACATAAGGTGGGTTTGTTACTGTATTTAAAGTGATAATTTAAAAAATACAGGTATCCCTCATTTAGTGTTAATTCGGTATAACGATAAATTTTTTTTACACCCTTTCTCACTTAAAGCTAGATAAAAATTCAGTTTAGCGACAGCTTGACTCACTGAGAAGGGGAAAACTGGGGATGAGGTGGTGTGTGAAATGGCATGTTGCCATTGTTATGTAAAAAAACAAACTAAAAGTTGTGAAAAATCATTACAATACTCTTATTGTATAAAAACTACAAAATAAGAAAAATGAAGAGTGTGAGTGTGTATGTGTGAGAAGTGAACATATGTGCGGAGGCAGTGGCACCGTAACTTCCTCGCCAGCCCAGTCACTTTCCCTCCCCTAATGTGACGTCATGGCATGCACACACACGCACACACTCACACGTCTCTACGAGTCAGCAGGGTGACTGCCCGGCTGAACTGTGCCTTATCACCAAGAGGATGGTTGGAGTGTGGAAGGAACTATTTTTTTACATAAAATATGTACTATTGTATTTTATGATATGCTATATATCAATTTTATTGTTTAATATAATTTTTTTTTTCATTTATGACGTATGCAATATGAAATTTGTTCAAATTAGGCTCACCTTTTGCTCACTAAATTGTTTAACCCTGAATTTTATCATTTATATCGAAGTTTAGTGTTAATAAAGCAATCGTTTAACTTCGAAACCATTTATAATAAACTTGCTTACGGTATAATAATTATTAGGGAGTACAGTACTGTACAGGAATACCTTGCTATTTGCAACCCTGTTTATCTGAAAATGACATTTTAACACTGTTATTTGATATTCGCAAAGCATACCCCACTTCTCCACACAGAAAAATTATGGTACACTACAGTAACATTTCAAACCACACGAGATACGGAATAGCCACAGCTCTCATATTCCTTGTAAGGCCTACTTTACACAAACATATTTTTTCATTGCATGAGGACCTGTGAGGTTTAGAAATTAATGAAGATCAATTGGACCGTTCACACTGAGCATGTGCATGAAAATTCACATGCAGGAGATGCTGACCCAATGTCTGTACCTGTACTTCCAAACCGTGGCATGAAAAAACACTCCCGAGCATTCTAGAAATCTTTATATGGCAATGGCAAATGCTAGTTTAAATGTTTACACACACACACACACAGAACAAACATTTCTTACATTTACATGAGTTAGTGCCTCAATCATGGGAGGGAAGTCGTTCGTTAACCGAATCTATTATTTTAATGGGATACTGGATAATTGGTTCCAACTCACAGAAAAAGTACATACAAAGTACTGTATACCAGTAATAGAATTAACAAAACATTAAATATATACTAAATACAGTAGTGTACTGTACAGTATACTGTACAATAATAAATAAAAAACAATAGAATACTGTATTTTAACTTACTTTGAGGTGTGTATGTCGTATTCCCGGCAGCTTTGTTTACATATCAAACAGCTGATTGTAGAGGCAGTCAATGATGACTTGTGCAGGGGGGGCATGCCCCACCAGATTTTGGGCTGGCCCCTGGGCTAACCCCCCCACTTTTTATTCTCAAAATTGTAATTCCAAAAACATTCCCAAAACCAGGCAGTGAGTCAAGTGACTCAGGCAATGGGCGCACCGCACGCCAGATGCAGGCATGGGTGAGGTGAGGTGAGATCACTGAGGTGAGGTGAGGTGAGGTGAGGTGAGGTGAGGTGAGGCCCGGAGGGCAGGAATTGGGAGGGTGCAGATATGCGGGGTGGGGTCACATCACAGTGTATATAAACAAACTGCCTTGTCGGTGATGAACATTACCACACTGTATTTCCACTGAGGAGGGTGACGGACTGATAGTAATTGTCGAATTTGTTGCCGAAACTACCCAGAAGAAATATTTCGTCTGCCACAGTGCCACTGTGGGTTTTTCTACTTGCTAAGTGAGGTATGTTTAGAGAGAACATGTGAGTAATTTTTTAACTATAGGAGTAATATTACAATCAGTCAATCTCAATCATTCAGTTCAAGTGACTGTAGTCGAGCTGAGCTATACAGTATAAGGTAAATCAGTACAGTCCATCAGTTATATCATTGCAAAATGTAGGCCTAAAGCATTCTTATGACATATGTCATAAGAATATATAAGCTTTTCGAAAATGAAATTAGTGACAACATTCCTAAGAAATTCCATGTCCAGTGACAGACTGAGTAACATCCCGCTACTATCGATTGAAAGTGCACGCGCTGAGGGAATTGATTTAGATTGTTTTGTCGACGAGTTTGGCAGCCAACATAATAATCATAGGATTAAGCTGCACTGAATATACTGTTACGGTCACAGTATCGTGTGAACTGAAACCGCACCATTGCCATTTGCCATTGGGTATAACGTAACAGTTGCATGCGGCGCCCATGTCTGAAAACGTAAACGTTGTCTCCATAACCTCCATTATGTGTGAAGCGTGAGATCATTCATTTTTTCGCTGATGTATGTACATACATTGTAAAGACACTGCTATATTTTTCAATGTTTGTTATGTGGTACACCCGCCCTTTATGTGACAATGTGAGCAACAATACAGTTTTAGAGATATGTTCAAGTGTGTCAATACTCCAATGAATCATGATTAGTGGAATAAGAGCGTTGCCATAATACCGCCATATGCTGATTATTTTAGGCTGGCGTCATGAGAGACGTCACTTCACATTTGTCAATCAAATTGGTGTAATAATGCCAAAAACTGCATCTTGCAAGTTGTACACAGGTTTGGTTTTGCCCCAAAGTGGCCCCCCCACTTTCCGAAGGCTAGAAACGCCACTGGACTTGTGCACTGGTTCTAATGCCTTCTTCATGTTTCTTAATATTTTCTGAATTGTATATTATCAATATGTTAACTAAATTTCAGAATGACCAATAATTTTAATGTAAAAATGCAAAAATATTTAAGAGACCAACAAAATCGATGTTCACTCCACTGTAAACAAAGTTAAACTGAGAAGTGTTGTTGGGGGATTCAATCAACTGATAGGCACACAAAAACTGTTCCCTGTACTGTCTACATTATCAATATGTTAACTAAATTTCAGAATGGCCAATAATTTTAATATAAAAAATGCAGAAATATTCAAGAGACCAACTTTCTTGATATTTATTCCACTGGAAACGAATGTAAACATAGAACCAATTACTGTATTGGTGGTCTAGCCGATCAGCTGATGCGCACAACAAAAGGTGTTTGTCGTAAGGATTTCGTTAATCGAAGTTTTGTTTGTTAATCAAACTGAAAATCCTTTTGGGAGCTAATTCGCTAATCGAAATTTCGTTAATCGAACCGTTCATTAACCGAGGGACCACTGCGCACGCACGCACATGCACACACACACACACACAATATTATCGTAAGGTCAAAAATATAAAAGGAATAAACATTTCTTACGTGCACGGTAGTTTGGGCCCAGATTGTGTGAGGAGGGAGTAGTGTTGGAGATCTCAACCACTCCAGTCTCCCATATGAAGTGAAACTATTGCCAACTGGCGATGCTGTATGGGTATTTTTTGCTTGATTTTATTTTATTTATTAGTGAATTTTTTTATTTTTTGCCCAATCCAGAATGCGATGTCTAGCTTTATACATAGGTATGTAAATGCCTAGCATTAACTCGCCAGGCCAACATGCAGGCAATTAAAACATCCAATAATTACTTAAATACGTAATATTAGGAGGACATGTCGTTACCTGGCATTTAATTGCCCTGATATTTTCAATTTCCTTATTCGTAATGATTTTTAAGACCACATCCTTTGTGATAACTGGGGTATTCTTGTCCTTAGTGTTTACTGTCCTGCCATTTGAACCTGTTGTTTGCCCTCCGTACTTTGTTGTTATCCCTTACTTAGTGAAAATTTCGCTTAATGTTAGGTTTTTCAGGAATGCAACTCCATCATTGAATGAGGGATACCTATTGATAAACTTTCTAATTAAATTTGCAGCTAACTTAGGAAGCCAATTGTCACGTCTGCCCTTAAAAGATCGATATCTGTTCCAAACAAGAAGAAATAGAGCAAAATGCTATACTGCATAAGCATTCCTGAAAAGAGATGCCCTGTATTTGATAGACTGAAGTGGGTCCCCAGGCAGTAATTCTTCCTAACTCACTTCTAAAATGATGTGTCTTGTTGCACTGTGAATTCACTTGTCACCATGGGTCAGGTCCCCCACAACCTAAGACACATTGAAGTTTTAACACAAATAAAGATTAAACTTGTTCAAGACACCACACAGTGCAAGGATGACAAATGACTCCCTCACCAGTTATCTCATCAATAAGGTGCTACTACATGCAAGCACTTACAAATCCTTAATTGAAAAGGTAGAGTCAGGGGACAAACATCTTGTCCTCAGTGCTTGGTAGCTGGTAATGCAGTTGATTCAGCTTCCTGCTTTGAAACTGAGCCTGAACAAATAAGAACGTGAAATCCTTAGCACCTTCAATAGGTTTCATGTGGTGTAGGTGGTGACCCTATGGTTTGTGCTTTAAAGCTATTAGCTATTGAAACACATTATTGCAAAATAGTAAAAGAGTGGACTGGGTATGTGCTGTTCCCTAGGGCAAATGCAATCTCTTAGACCCCCCTTTTATTACAGACTAGGGTTGATGTGCACAAAATTAGTACCAGCCACTACAGGCTAGGATTTCAATGGATTCCTAAGCCTTCAGCCTTAAGAGTGCATTGAATAATATTTTAGTTTTTTATAAGGAGGGTAAAGAGTGTTTCTTGAGCATGTTAAGAAGTGAGAAACTAGTTCTCTGTAAAAAAAAAAAAAAAAAAAACTGGTTCATAGTAGATGTACCAGGTAGGTGTATTACAGAGAGAAAACATGTTGTCACAGTTGTTCAAGTGACATGAAAGCAGGAGAACTGGACAGAAAAGCAAGTTTGCTAAATAAGAATACAAATTGCAAAAGGAAAATGAATCGGCTGCTGTTTGCTGACAATACTGCCCAAATGGGTGATTCAGAAGAACAATTACCCAGGACAGAAACAGGAATAATATGAGTTTGGAAGTATATACTAGGTTAATGTTAACAGTGGTGTGAACAAAATCAAAGTGATGAAAATAGAGGAGGGAGAGAGGAGGAAAAACTTTGAGCTTGAATTGGTACAGAATGAAGGAAAAGTGATTTTTCAGATATCTGAGAGTTGATGTATATATTAATAAATCAGTGTGACTTATTAAATTATAAAATAGCAGAGGGAAAGAAACTCACAGCTACACCAAGATATAAATGTATGCAGAGAGTAATCTGTGTTAGAGGAAGTAAGGCTGGGGATGCATAGAAGAGCTGACATCACTACAATATATGGGAGCAAAGCACAGACTGGATGCAAAAGGGAAAAGCAAGTCTGAGACAAGAAAACTGATGTGCTTTTCAGCAGTATATCGGGAGAACAGGATGTAAAGAATAAACAACATAGAAATCAGACAGAAATCTAAAATTGAAAGTAGGGTTGAACAAAGCTGATTAAGAGTGTGAACACATTGAGAGAATGGGAATTAAAATATTTGTATAAAGTGTATAATTCTGAGATGAATAGTAGATGAGACAAGAGATGACCAAAATGAATGATAGGATGGAGTTATGGAAGCACTAAAAGTGACTAAAGGAGGGTTAAAAAAAAGCAGTAATGAAAAGGTTAAAATCTTTACATTTTCACTTAACTGTTTTTTTTTTAATAATGATAAGATTTGTTTGTCTTTGGTAGAATTTTATCAAATTGCACTCAGGCTCTTATACTCAATTAATTATAGACATATGAGAGTATTGTATAATGCAAAAATTATATTTACAATCCACTGACAAATATAACAAGAAAAGCTAAGACATAAATATAAGTAATCTACAGTACTTTATAAATTCAACCCTTATGTCAAACAATGAAGAAAAGATAATTTAAGTGCTCAATTTCTTTCACCATAAAAATGAAAAATCACTGTGCTTCATTTTCAAATATTTTCAAAATATGAATACTGAACTTTACTAATTAGGAATTAACACTGTAAGCCCTATACCCTTTCAACATCGGAAATGAGTGTGTGTAAATAAGTGTTTGTGTATGTGCATTTATGGTTGTTCTCACAGACATGTAATAAGGGCCTCGATCACCTGCCGCTCTCGTCATTGAACCGGTGATGGTAACTCTGCCTGTGATGCTTTCTTTAAAGCTGCCACCCATCTGTAAGTACATATAGGATCTTAGACTTCCTGTAAATCTAATTCTTATTATTTGCCTTAATTAAAAAATCTTTAATATTATCTTATAAATGATGCCTCATTCCTCCAGAGAACTCCCCTTTGGACATGATAGAATATCTTTCAAACCATCGTACTGCTACTTACCTCCTTTGTCTCCTCTATCCCATTACAGTAGAACCTCGATAAATCGGACTTATTAGGGTAGACCCCAATCCCCCCCCCCAAAAAGCAAATACAGTCAACCCTCACTTTACGCGGTCCCACATTCCGCGTTTCCACGTTTAAGTGGTGCCCTGCCGGAACCTAACATGCTCACATTCCGCGGTGCGTGTACCCCATTACGCGGAGAGCGGCTGGCGAGCCGCACCATTTTTGGATCCAAACCTCCCGCCATCCGCCATGTTGTGTGAGCGGCGCGAACATGGTGAGCACAAGGTCGCCCAGTCATTAAAACATTACCAGTTCTTCACCCGCCACCCACCACAGCCGGCCCAAGTCAGTGATAGTGATAATTATAGTGAGGATATGGACTTTGGGGGGTTTGACAAAGAGGCCCTGCAAGCCTCTGTGGTGGATAGTGATACAATTGATACAAGTGATACAGGTGAGGGCCAATAATCTGCCCTCTGCCTCGGAACCAACCGCCCATCCCCGTGTGCCCAGCCATATTTTCTACTAATGTAAGTGTTAAAAAACCTAATATTATTGATATTTCTCTTAATTATTAATTGTATGTGCATACCATCATAAAGTTAAGATAATATTTTTACTACAACATAGTTGTGTGTAGTCAAAAAGTGGAGTTTGGGGGTCTGCCCGGTCTCTATTTCAATTAATCCCATATGTTATGTTGTTCACTTTACGCGTTTCTCACTTTCCGCGGTACCCTGTGGGTTACATTAACCGCGTAAAGTGAGGGTTGACTGTATATGGAGGGGGGAGATAACACTGTTTATCTGAACTATTTAAAGAAAATTAGTTGTTGTTGTGTTATTACTGCACTAAACAACTAAGGTCTTTAAGTGTATAACAAGGTTATTAAATGAATATTACATCAACAATAATAAAAAAATATGAAACAGAACTCTCTGGGTTGAAAATCACACTTAAGTCTGGTTGTCAACAACTGTTTTCACCGAGATGATTGTTATTTACTTTACTGTAAAGTGTTACCGTATATGTAAGCAATCACAGAATTTTGCTTATGAATAAGGAGAAAACTGTATACGTACAGCGCTATAAAGATAAAAATAAGAACAAATAAGTGTAGGAGTATATTGTATGCGGAAGACAAGTGTTTATCTGGGAGCAGCTGGCAGAGGGGAGGAGGAATAGAAGGGTTGATGGCTCCCTCCCCCTATCTCCCCCAAGATTCCTTTAATACTACTTCTTTATGCATTTTCACCATAATTTTCTATAATTTAGGTTCATTTTGCACCAGGTTGATAAAATATTATCCTAAAAGAATCAGCTTTCCTGAAAAAAGAATCCCACACTGATCACCATGAGTCATTTGTTTACAAAGGGCAAACAGCTGATTGGCTTACCACAATGTCTGTGTTCAACAATTAGCAAATTAGTACAGTACAGTTGTGTATTTATCATCACTTAATAAATACTATTGTAGTGTATTTATAACCACTTAATAAGTAATAGTGTAGTATGCAGTAATATGCTATTGCATATTCCATGGTTTATTATTAACCATTTGTCTAGGTATACAACTAGCCAAATTGAGCCATCATATAACACTCAAAGGTAGCAATTAACGTTGTAAGGAAGGTATCTTCGTATCAAATATTAAACAGTGTGTTATTGTGATTATTACTACTAATGATGAAGATAATGATGATAATGAAGTATTGTAGTGGAATTCTCCCCTACAAACGCTGTTTGTCGCTGCCTAGCCGACCCCACCAATTCCCCAGTGTATGCCTCGTGGTCTAGGTCAACCAGCGCCGCCATACACCACGGAGCGGGGGTCAACTGCTAAGCCACGCCTACCCCCGCTATTTAAGACCTGACCTCGTGGTGATCTGCCTCTCCTTCTACCTACACCAACCAGCCAGCAACACCTCCTCCGCCTGCCTGGCGGTCCTCGCTCCTCCTCCGCCTGCCTGGCGGTCCTCGCTCCTCCTCCGCCTGCCTGGCGGTCCTCTCTCCCGCTGGCGAGCATGGCGACCCACAAGCTGTCCTTCTCTGAGCGTCCTCACCAACCAGCTCTCTCTACATCACGCTTGTAACCATGCTGCCTTCCCAGCACCAAGCTGCATTGTACATCCAATACAACATGTATATAGAGAGCACATTGTGAGTTTCCTTTCTCCATCCCATCCTGAGTGTGAACCAAACAATCTCATACCCCACAAATGGTGACTCCCGGAGATTCGCACTCACACAGGATGGAGGAGAAACTGATCACGCTCCCAGTCTTCAAGCAACATGGAAGACTGGCTTATCCACCCAGAAGCAGCTCTCATCGGCTCTACAACTACTGTCTCTACACCACAGGTTAGACACCCTAGAGCAGCACTGTTTCTCCTAGCAGACACCAGCTCCTTTTCCTGCCCCCAAGCACCACGTCCTACCGACCCCAGCACACCCGTCCTGCCTCAGACGCCGACCCCGGCCCAGCAGTAACCCCTGCCGCCCCTGATGCGGCCTCTGTTCCTGAGTGCGGACCCACACACCCCCTCTTTTCTCCCTCAGGTACTCCCTGCTAATGTCCTGCACCCTGCTGCTGTCGTGGACCCAGCTGCTGTCACGAGCCCTCATCCGCTTCTGCTGACGCAGCCCCTGCTCCTGACCCAGGCCCACACACCCCAGCAGGCGCATCTGACGACTCTGTACCTGCCGTGAGGGAAGCACAACATTCATCGCCTCCACACACCCTTATTCTCCCTCTCTACTCCCACAGATATTGTGTATCTAGACAGTTGTCCCCAGCGACCGGCTCATCCACGCCATCGCCGTTGTCTCACATGAGGCATGCACCGCCCGTTCTGCCTCACATGTGCTATGCAACCCTGCAGACAACAAGTCTCCTACACCGCCTGGAGGGAAGGGGGAGTATTGTAGTGGAATTCTCCCCTACAAACGCTGTTTGTCGCTGCCTAGCCGACCCCACCAATTCCCCAGTGTATGCCTCGTGGTCTAGGTCAACCAGCGCCGCCATACACCACGGAGCGGGGGTCAACTGCTAAGCCACGCCTACCCCCGCTATTTAAGACCTGACCTCGTGGTGATCTGCCTCTCCTTCTACCTACACCAACCAGCCAGCAACACCTCCTCCGCCTGCCTGGCGGTCCTCGCTCCTCCTCCGCCTGCCTGGCGGTCCTCGCTCCTCCTCCGCCTGCCTGGCGGTCCTCGCTCCTCCTCCGCCTGCCTGGCGGTCCTCTCTCCCGCTGGCGAGCATGGCGACCCACAAGCTGTCCTTCTCTGAGCATCCTCACCAAACAGCTCTCTCTACATCACGCTTGTAACCATGCTGCCTTCCCAGCACCAAGCTGCATTGTACATCCAATACAACATGTATATAGAGAGCACATTGTGAGTTTCCTTTCTCCATCCCATCCTGAGTGTGAACCAAACAATTTCATACCCCACAGTATTCTGTACAACAACTGTGACGAAGTCCAGCAAGCTTCCCGCATATCGCTTTCTCAGTTCACACCAACACTACTTTTTTTCTCTGCTCTCATTTGCATTGTGTGTTTATCACATACCTTTTTAATGTTAAATGCTGTTTTCCCCATAGAGCATGTCTGGAAAACGTCCATCTGCCTCCTCTGGGGCACCTAAAGCTAAAAAGGCACAAAAAACAATTGCAATGGATATGGAATTAAATGTGATCACCCGCCTTCAGAGAGGAGAGCGTGTGTCGGAGGTTGGCCGCGTGATTGATTTAAGTGAGAGCACTGTTCGTACCCTGTGCGTTATATGATGGTTCCCCTAACCTGTACCATTTACATGTATTCTTATGGGAAAATTATGTTTAATTTACGCATTTTTTAATTAAGCGGTGGTTTTCAAGAACGTAACCCCCGCGTAAAACGAGAGGTGGGTGCTATTAAAAATAGTAAACAATATCAAAATACTTCATGTTGCTTCCTGAAATAAATTTCTATACCTGAATAGAAGAAGTAAAAAAATATGAGAGGAAAGATAACAGACAGATGAAGAGCTTCAATGAAATGGAAAAACACAAAATAATTTCACAGACTACACACCTTTGAGAATCTTCTTTAGATGCTGCTTGAAATATATAATGCTTCTTGGAGTGATACAACTTAAACGCTCTCTCCTTTTCCTTTTCGCTAATGCCACTCTCATTTCTTGTACCCTTGGGAGAAAACAATTAATATATATTATATCCTGATGCTTTCTACTAGCTAATGTGAATATTGTGCTCACTAAGCTTGAGATACAAGTGAACCTAAGCATTTGTGACTGGGTGCTAATACAATGATAAAGTCTAACCCAAATAAAAATGTACTCATTAGATTCCCTCCACAATGCAACCATCACACTAAACAAATGGGAAGTTTGGAAGCAAAGGTCAGGCCTGAGGAGAAGAGGGGAGACAGGAGGGTCAAAATTTCTGGGGTTTGAACCTCTGAGGGGGCCTGGACAATGGAGGAAAAAAAAAAAAAAGGGTTAAAGGGTCCTAATTAGTATGTATAGTCCATAAATATGCACATTCATATTGGCCTATAGGATCCCTTCAGTTACCCCTCACAATTTTAAAGTGGGAGGTCGTTGCTCTCATGAGTACATCGCATTTTTGTAAACAACACCTTCAGACATCATTGGTGAATTTCTCAGATCTCAAATTAGGTTATAAATTTCCTGTCAAGTGTTTTCATTCTGGTCATTGTATATTTTATGTACTGTTGTTAAAGTCTTGATATGCTTATAAATTAGTGTGCTTCCTTAATTTGGCTGTCAACATCATCTTGCATTCGTACATTTAAATTATTTTGTATGAACATTTTAAGAAGATAGTGTCCTTCAAATGCACAGAAGCTGTATTCCTAAAATTGCACACTCAATATGAATTATTACAGACTACATAGACAGACATACAGTAGATAGATAGGTAGAGAGAGAGAAATAGATTTAAGGTGAGTTTATATGTTAATCTAAAGGTTAAAGTGTAAAATATGATATTATTAATATCAATAATTTTATCATGATTCAGAATACTGTATATCGATTCATTCAGGCATGCAACCAAGAGTGTGACCTTGCCTAAATTTGCAGCTACTGTGCTGGGTTTATGCATGGACAATACAGTACTGTACCTTATAATATTTGCATCAACTTACTCAATGTGTCTTCTTTGTAGACAACTTCAGAACTAGATTGATTAGGTATTACTATATATGTTTTCACTGAAAGGCACTAACATTACTGAAGAATGTTAAGTTTGGTTTTCAACTATCAACAGGTTACAATTTTTACAGTAATACCCAGTAAACATATTACAGAAATATTTCCTTCTAAGAAATATTTTTTTAGTTATTGACGCTATTTCTCACCTGAGGTTAACCCTAAGTTACTTAAAAAAAATAATGAAATTTCGTTGGAAGTGAGATTTAGGGAGGAGGGGCCTGATCATGAACCTTGCCCCTCGCCATAGTCAGCTCTCAGTGATCCTGGCAAAGGTCACCATTCCAAGTAAGAGGCTAATATGTCTTGATATAACATTAACATGAAGGAGCTCCATCTACTGGCTGTTAGGAGAATGCTATATTAATTTTCAGGCTCAGTCCTTACATCTAGTCACTTCCTTACATCAAGTAAATATGTCTGGTAGCCAATTTCTCCTGCTACTTGGAACTAGAGCTAACGTCTAATTTTTTCACACTTCTTGATGATGATGATGATGATGATGAGCTTATAAGCAAAGCAACACAATTCTTCCTGTTGTATTAAGAGTAAAACTGGCTTCTACCTCCAGAACCACTTTTGAAATAATAAAAAAGTCTTAAAATTCTAAAATTTTGAAGCAAAGTTTCAATTCATGCTAGTCGGCAGTCATTACTACACGGTATACTGTTTCTTTTCTTGAGAGTTTGCAGTGGGAGGAGATTTGTTGATAGTCTTCTCCTCTTACCCATTTTTTTTATTAACTTTTAGATTATTTAGATAATCTAGTTGACAAGATTTCTGAAGCCATTCTTACCAAAATTTTTACAAGGTCTATATGATGTAACTTTGAGCTCAATCTGAGGAAGTTCTACCCCTGCTACCTCACACTACTTCTGCCTCCACCTCCACCATCTCTGCTCCACACTTCCAACCTCCCCAGGTGGCTTGGGTGAATCCTTGAACTTCTGACTTCAACACCAACACTATCATCATAACAAATTCAGTATGACTGTCATCAAATATTAAAAGCAAATTTAAATACAGCCCTGTATCATTAAAATTGTTAGTTATTATTTTTTGCATGTATATTAGCGTATTGGATGAATGAGAGAGGTTATCTTGTGAGCCTGGAACCTAACCCCATGTTTCCAATTGGCCCTTAATATTTTCTTGCACACTTTCCACACACAGGTACATAGTGTTTTTCAAGATCCTAACTGCTGTGTAAGTTATGGAACTTAATATAATGCAAAGGTTCATCCAACTTTCAGATTTTCTTTGATTTGTATTTAAATCAAAAGTTTTGGATCTTAGGAATCTGGTTTTAACTCCACAGGTTAGAAAATGCAATTTCATTAGAAGTCCTTCATTGTTGATGGAGTTCAGCTTACTTTAAAAAAGGGGAGAATTAGTGTGTGAGTAAGGGGTAAATTCAGTGTGTTCTGTAATTATCTACAGGGTATTATTAAATTTAATAACATATACAGGAGAAACTTCTCTTTTCTCTTCTCCAGTAAAATTTTTATTATACAGTAGGACCTCAGATATCCAGAATGCATGGGGAATTGAGCGTGCCGGATAACCGATTTTTCCGGATGTGTGAGAGTTACCGGTACTCATATAAATACGCATCTCACACTCAAGAACATCATCATAGTATACATGTACTGTATACTCATTGCAAACTCAAGAACGTTGCCATAGTAAATATTATAAAAGGAATAAAAAGACAGTAAATATATTCTTCCATTAACACATGGTGACTCACTATTCTCCAGTCTCTTACATATATCCACCTGCTTTAGAGTAAACATAACATGTTTCCACTTAGCTGTAACTCCTGTCTTAGGCATGCTGGATGGATGAGGTGATGATAGCAGCTACACTGGCACAAACATTCAAGTAAGTGGAACTGTGTATGGCCAACCTGGAGGATGCACACAACACTTCTAGTGGCCAGAAATGGAACCAAGGGCAAAGCGGCACCAAATTCAGATCGATTTTCTTGATTTTTTTAAATTGATTAGACATTACTTACTGGAAATTCATCCCACCAAAGAAAAATGCCGGTTGTGTGAGAGTTCTGGATGGTTAAATGCCGGATATCTGAGGTTATAACTGTAAAAAGAATTTATAAGTTAAGTATAATACTTGAAAAGTGGAGCTTACTTGCAAATGTGTAACAGTAAATCCAGGTACAGGAGTAGCAGTTAGTGCATGGTCATCTGCTTCACACTTGAATGAGTACAGAACAAAGTCCGTGTGTAGAGCAAACCATCGCTTCACCCAAGTTTTACGATGTGTCTTGAGCTGAAGGAACCCTTGTATCACTGCCCCACCAGTTTTAGCTGAAACCTAAGTAGAAAATCAGGATGAGAATTAGATTACTTCTTATATAAATGATTTTCCTTCTACTAACTGCATATCACCCTCTCTAAGGATTCTCAAATAATTTCTATCACATTATAATCTGTACCAGATATACAAATACCTGTACTGTACTGCACTCTATTCAGTCTTACATTACTGCTTAATGTACAACTGTACCAAACAACAAATCTCAACATTACAATCATTAAATACAATGATTAGTTAATATACTAAATGCTGTGTGGAATAGTTTTGTTCTCATCAATATGTAAAGCCTTTGTATCTAAAGTTCTTCCATCTGCTCTTTGATCTTGTCCACTCTAACCATTTCTGTAAACTGGCAAAATATTCATTCCTTACTTTCTTTTTACTGTACTGTACTAAGACATTTTACATCATACAGTACCTTAATGTTTTCACATTCCTGATTCATCAAATGCTGTACCAACTGGGCCAACTAACAAGTCTCAAGAGGAACAATTTAACTATTTCGTTCTACAGTCAATCATTCAATTCAATTGTTTTTGTTCTAGAGTCAATCTTTTAATTTAATAATTTTTATACTACAGCCAATCATTTAATTTAACTGTTTTTGTTCTACAGCCAATCATTCAATTTAACTGTTTTTGCTCTATAACCAAGTCTTTAGAATTCATACAGTACTTCAATATACAGTAAGCTTTTTCATAATTTCCAGTGCTGCATTTTCATTTTACAGTATGTAACTCAGCACAAAAGAAAGACAGAAACTCAAGTAACATGAATTAAAAAGAAGAAAAAAAGAAAAAAGAAAAAGAAATCTTACCTCTAACACTCCTCTATTCCTAAAAGGTAAATCAGGTGGTTCTTTGGTACTGTATAAGGAGCATTCATCAGCTTCATCAATCTCTGGAGAAGGTGTGGCAGTTGATGAAGAAAGCTCTTGCAGTTTTTTGTGACAATCCCGACACACTCTTACACTCTTTCCACTTTCGTATGCAAGAGATGCTTTGAAACCGGAGCACTTACTGCACACAACCTGAAGGGCATCCATAATTGAAATAGCAAAGTGAAAAACATGCAAAAAAATTTAAAACCTCATAAGTAAAGGGGATCCTCATTATACATAAGGGATATGTTCCAGAGAAATGGGACTTATAGTGAAACATTTTATCATGCGGATTTTTTCACCATAAAAGTTTATATAATTAGGGGTAGATGCATTCCAATATGTACAGTAATATCCCTTGAAACCTCAGGTTGTGCTCCTGGAGAGAAAGGTTTCAGCAAATCAGCTTACAAAGGGGCCAATATAAAATACACTACATACCTGTATACAGGTGTACCCCCTGTATTAATCGTATTTGATATGAAGGTTCGTTCCTAATAATGTTATTTATTACCTTTGAGTGATACATGATGGCCTGATTTTGCTACTTGTACACTTAGACAAATGATCAATGAATAAAACAGGGCATATGGAGATGCATTATACACTACACTAATATTTATCAAGTGGTGATAAATATACTACAATATTATTTACTAAGTTTTGAAGACAGATCATGTGGTAAGCACCAATTCTCTTGAACAGTGACAACAGCAATGTTTGAGAGATGGTGGGCACCCGTGAGGCGGGGTGAGAACGATCAGCTGCCTGCCACACTTGGTGGTCTGGGTTCAATACCCAGCACTCAGCAGTGATCTTCTTTATAATGATTTATCTGTGTACAGTTTCTGATATATTAGATCTTTTTAACACTATCTAACCGTCATATTCAGATACACAAAAACTTAGTTTAAAACATTACATGATGCAGATAACGTATATGCGAAACAAATTATGTAGAATGAAAATTTCAACCTAAACAGTATTTGTTAGTGACGTATATATGAAATGACATATCGGTACATCGCATACAATAATAAGGATCCCCTGTACCCGGGTAATTAAAAAATAAAAAAACTGCACCATACCATAAAGCAGGACACAGTGCAACACTTACTATAATAATGATAATATACAGTAAGGTCCCTCTTAAGTTGGACTTCTGTAAGTCGAAAACCCCATAAGTCTAACAAGCTCCAGCTTGGAGAGGGGTCACTATGGGTGGCAGTTGGGCTAGGCGTCAGTTCCGGCTTGTTTGTTGCCGTGACAGCTGCTCCGCTATGCACTCTGTGTTTTGTTTGTATTTAGTACTCCCTAGTGTATTATTGTGGCCTTAAAACAAGTAAAAGCAAAACAATACCACTGAGGACCACTGGGAAAAAAGAAATGGTGCTCAGAACTCTACCAATTGAAGAGAAACTGAAGAAATGTGATGGAATGGATACTGGGGTCTTCATGAACATTATCTGTGAGGTGTTCAGGCTGAAGTGGAGTACTTTTTATATCAGCTAGAATAAGTGCATACTTACAATAAAAGTACGTGCAGTGTAGATGTATAATGATAACTTTAATATTGTTTTTGGAAGGGATTTTTCAGCAAAATGATAGTTGACGGCACCTGGGGGAGATTATACATCAGTCAAAATTTTACATAAGTCGGACAACCCCGAGCCCCATATAGTCCGACTTAGAGGTCTTGTTTTAATTGATACTTAGGCAATTTGACCAAGGATAGCTGACAAAGCCACCAGATGCTTAATTCCACTGGGGTCCTTTAGCTGAAATACCCAAAGCAGCTGATGTTCCCAGGCAGTCATCCATCCACATATTACCAGACCAAACATCATTTAAATTTGTTGATTGGATGAGAAGCAGTGTTTTCTATGTAATACTGTATAGCCAATTAGACTACCTGCACTGACATTTGCAAGACAAGCAGTGTAAATTTTCTGACATTCTGATTCATCATGGTAATTTACCGGCCATTTTTATCACAATCTTGTATAAAATGCAGTAGCCCTCCACAATGATGCTTCACACATAGCAGTTCAGTACATGAGAATACAACACATTAAGGTATGGTGGAAGACTGTAAAGCCATACACAAGCTACTGTGGGAGCCCTTGATCAAACACAGCACAGCATCTTTCAGTCTGCCAATCACATGTGGCAACTACCCTCTCATTGATTTGGACAGCTGGGATGCTCAGCTTGTTGCACTTGACAAGCTCTGACATGCAGGAAATAACCACATGGTCAATAAAGGACAATACAGTACAGTAATACCATTCACAGATTTTAATGGCATGGTTCACTAAATATACCAAACAAAAAGACATGCATTATTGGGAATATCTGATATGGAGATGGTTTACTGAACATCAACACTGACTAGCTGATGGTAAGATCTTTAGCCAGTCATGGAGGAACTAATGAGACTGGAACCTAACTCCCTTTTTCCATAGAACCAAGGTAATTTTTCACGTACATTCACTTTGCATGGTGTTCTCCAGGATCATTATCACTATGTAAATCAAGAGTTTACTGTACAGTACATTAGTTGAGCATAATGTTGTCCCACTCTTATGTTATTTCTTTTACTCACATACATGTTAAAATTCCCTTCTTTCTACACTAACCTAAAATATTCTGTTCAAAAGAATTGTGTTCATGTCATACATACAAATCAATGTTTTTGCACGGCACATATTACTTATTTTCAACACAAATAAAAAAAACTATATATATATTTTTTTTTACTCACCTCCCCACATGCTCGACAATGGTGCTTCCTCCGTACCATGGTGAATTGACTACTACATAGCATACACTTAGTGACTGAGTCAGAGCGAATAAGCATAGGTTGCTTTTGACCAAGATCAACATCCACAATGCGCTGATCTGGGTTAAAATGTAGTTTGAGAGATGATTTCCTCTGTGAAGTCTCATGGATTGCCCGGATAAATGCCTCTAGCCACTGCTCCTTTTCCTCCAAGGTCCTATTTGAAAAAACGGAAAGTATCTTGTTACTGCAAAAACTTACAAAATCATGGGTTGTACAGAAGGTTCTCCGAGCACAATCATGATGTCACGTGGAAAAAACAGACTGATACAGTACAGGGTATATAAATTATATATCAAAAGGAAAGACACTGTCACTCAAGCCACATAACTCAAATACATTCTGTACTTTTTTGTATACTTGACAAGTTATCTTTTCTACATTCTTTCCTTAAACTCACTGTGTATAAAGTTCCACAGATTTGTTGTTATCCTTGATGTAGAAAGTGTTTGCCGTTTCAAGATTGTCTCCCTCTTGCACCATCAGGTTTTCTACATGATATTTAGCACGAAGGCGATACTGTGGGCCACTCATTACCCGGCCTCCCATCAGTCGCGGAGAACACAACAAGAGCAAATCTGTCAACTGCAAAAATATATTTTTATTATACAGTACTGTACTAAATCAAGTACTATACAACACAAAAATTCGAATAACAAAAGAAAATGAATTATAATAGAGGCCAACATGTACAGTATAATCATGGCACTGCAGCCTTATACAGTACAGTACAATAAAAACCCATAATTTGAAATAATAGGGGCTCTACCCCTTACGAATTATGAGATTTTACGAAATATGAGTGAGACTTTAACAGAGGGAAAAACCAACAGTACTTTCCATTATCAACCCCAATCACAATTTAAATGTTTCTATGTACAGTACCAAATTTAGGGTTATCAGACATAATAGTTCAATCACTGGGCAATAATGGACGTTAATCAGGACCGACACAGGTGACCCGTATAATACTTGTTTACACTAAGGAAGGTGGTTGCATTCCTTGACCGCATTGCGACATGTGCATCATATACACAATATTCATAAAGGTATCTCATAATCTAAAATTTAATCAAATATTAAGAAAAATATAATACTGTACTGCATACAGCGTATATCGTAATACAGTAAATCCTCGCTTAACGTCGTCCTGCTTAACGTTGTTTTGGTACTACGTTGCTAAACTTTAGAGTCCAAAAATTCGTTTAAAGTCCCGGTGATCCAATACTACGTCATTTTGCATCATCAAGGACTACATTTTAAGGTGCATCACCCTCTCTTGTCTGGCCACGCTATGCTCTCTCAGCTTGGCGCAGAGTCTCAGTGACTCGCCACCCTCCTCCTCCGCCATACACCTCCCCTCCTGCCCTCCGCCTCCTCAGCTTCACTACCCACCACACACTCGCTCTACCATCTCCGCCCATCGGTGAGTACCAATACAAACTAGGTAGTTGTATATGTATGCATTATTTTTATAGAAATGGCAATGATTTTCTGTACATGTAATGTATTTCATGAGGCAAAGGGAGGCTCAGGAATGTAACTCCCGTATTTTATCTATTTCTTATGGGGAAAATGAATGTCGCGTTTTTAGGAACGTAACCCCGACGTTAGGCGAGGACTTACTGGAAATCAAAATGTCTCCCATATTTCAAAATTTTACTAAATATTACAAAACTTGTAATATATGTTTTGTAACAGTAAAACATTATGAATTGTGAGTAATTTTAAATTTGGGAAGTGCAACTTATGTTTTTTTTTCAATCCAGAATGTGACGTCTAGCTTTATACCTAGGTATGTAAATGCCTAGCTTTAAATCGCCAGGCCAACATACAGGCAATTACGTAATATTAGGAGGACACGTCGCTACCTGGCATTTAATTGCAATACTGTACAGTGGTCCCTCGGTTAACGAACACAATTCGTTCCAGAAGGTCGTTCGTTAACCGAAAATTTTGTTAACTGAAACCATTGTTTCAATGGGATTTTGGGATATTGGTTCCAGCTCACCGAAAATTACATACAAACTAAAAATAAATGCAGTAAAGTACACTTACTTTGAGGTGTGCATGTAGAAGGCTCCTGGTTGATGATGATTATGATGGGAATTAGAATGGGGGTGGAGGAGAAGGAAGAAGAGAAGGCATTGGAGTGGAAGAGAAGTCACCCCATGCTTCATGCTGCCATTTCACCCAAAAAATTTTAGTTCACTTGGTGTAATTCAAGATTATTTTCTTTAAATCAACACTGCACTGCATTATATATTGTCAATATGTAAAATAAACTTCAGAATGACCAATAATTGTACTGTAAAAATGAAAAAATAGTTTATGTTCAAGAGAGTCTCAAGCAAGATGCTTCCTCCACTGAGCAAAGACACAAACTGATGCCATTCTGGGTGAGTCAAGTGGCTGTTTGGATCGCTAAAAACTAGTTCCCTGTACTTCAATTATGTTAAATAATTATTAAAATGACTAAAAATTTTAATATAAGACTTGGAAAATTATTGAATAGTACAACCTTCTTGATATTTACTCAAATGGTAACGAATTTAAGCCCTAAAACCGATTACTGTATTGGCGGACTAATACTACAGCTGGTGAGCAGGCGAAAGCAGGCGAAAACATGTTGGGAAAAATTCGTCAGGAATTCGTTAACCAAATTTTTTCGTTAACTGAATTGAATATTCTTACGGAAGGTAATTCGTTTACCGAAATTTCGTTAACCGAGGCGTTCGTTAACCGAGGGATCACTGTACTCAAAACCCCCTCCCGCACCCTCCATCACACGCATTGCTACTGCCATCTTCATGCCTGGTGAATCAGCTGTAAAAGTGCACAAGGAAGGCTCCGCTAATTTGTGTTGTAATAGCTGAAATATTAAGTGCCACGAGGATTTTATTTTAGGTATTTATACATCTTAGCACAGTGAGGAAATCGAGTGAATTTTATTTTGATTGTCTCCCAGATATTGTGTCTGGGGCAATTTTTTATACAGTCTGGTCAAGCATGGAGTCCGCGGCTCGTCTTCTATCTAGGAAGACAGTCGATCTTTAGTGACTAATATCCTCTGGTTTCAAGTCACTTAGTGAATGACGTTGTTTTTCGCCCTTCCGTGCAAGTAATGAATACCATGATATATGTGGCCATCCCTCTCCCTCTTCTCATGTTCATTCACGAAACTTTTCGGGCTGCCGCCCTGGGTTTTCTAATTCCTCTCAGCATACAGGCCAGAGTTAAGTTTTTCTCTTCATAACTCTATTTTATTTATGTCCTCAGTAGCAGGTTCAGCCTTTCCAGGTGAACTTTAGTGAGGCTGCTAGTCTTAGTGATCCTTCCGGACGCTGACCTTCCAGTCTTACTAGCAATCTAGAGTTATGTTGGGATGAACCTTGTATCTTCAGTATGGGTTAAATGAAAACCATTCTGGGTGGAATTCTCAGCCCAATACATCTTGCTAGAGTAATGGTGAACAATGTTAGCCAATGGAGCTCTATGGTAGCAGCTCAGTACTGTCAACCCTTCCAGGTGACTTGATGCTCACTCAGGCATCATCGCTTAAGCATGAGTAATTGAAGCAGTGTTGTCTGTGCACTCAGATTGGCAACAAATAGAGAACTTGGTGATCCCTCAAAATATAAGTGCTCTAAAATGAAGTTAGTTTGATTTAGAAACAAAGTTCATTGAGCTGAGGGACATTTGAGGTAAGAGAAGGGAGAGGTGTATGATATAGTGAGTTATTGTTTATGATTGTCACACTGGTGACTCGTATAAGAATAAGAGACATTAAATGAAATAGCTTACTGAAATATCACAGTTATGAGTCAGATTGATTATGTTGGAGAGAAAATGTAATCTGCCTTGTATTATGATGATGATACAATGTGACTCATGGTGTTCCTCCTAGATTACATGAGTGATGTGCAACTGGAGGATGAAGGACAGTTGTCTGGACTGCTAAATGATGGAGGAGACCATGGAACTGTCCCTGGGGAACTAGTGTTGAGTGAGGAGCTACAAGGACTGGAGAGTTCAGCTCATACACTACATACAAAGAATTGAATGTCAGTAGAGGATGTGAATTCAGTACTAGTAGTTTCACCTATGACCCAAGTGGACCATACTACATGTAATTATCAAGGATGTAGGGCCACTTGGATTACCAAGTTATATCCTCATTTGGCTTGCATAATTCATAGCAGCTGTGTCTCAGACAACCTGTTTTCACCATTGGATTGTGCAGTTTGTTATGATCAAATTTTTTAAATTAATCAAGCTGCAGGAGATAAGAAGGAATTATTGAAGATCCAAATTAAAAATAGATGGAATAAGACCTTAAAGAGTAAATTTCTAAATGCATAACACTGGAAAGATCCCAAGTTGGCAGAATGTTTAGAATTATGGGTGATAGGTAAGAGACTTAATCCCCAGTTAGACCAACCTGCTTCTTCTAAGAAAAGTAGGTTATTGGATATTCAAGATAATGAGGCAGTAGGAAGGTTGCAAGAACCTCTACCTAGTCAGCCCAATTTTAGTGGATTCCAGGATCAGGATGAGTAAGTTGGCACTAATCAAAGTGTTCAGTCACTAGAGCAGGGAGAACCTGTTGAGACTGAGATCATCCTGTCCCCATCCTTCCACCTGGGGCAAAAGTGTTGGTTACTATGAGTGGAAACAGGCTGCTGTCAACTCTCACCCAGCTAATGGAGAACACTGAGTGTAAGGATGATCCAAACAGGCCTTGGGTAACATTGGTAAGATCTTAGTCTTCTTTGTTTTCAACCACATCCGAGTCTGTGGATTCCTTATATCAAGGTATTTTATGAAAATGTTCTCTCAGCACTTACAAAGAGACAGGAAGGCCAGGCAACTGTAGGTCATCATTCATTGTTTTTAGAAAGTGATACTACAATTTCTTGGCCTGCTATTTGCCCAAAAATGATCTCTGAAATACATGAAGTCTGGGCTAATTATTGAAAGACTTAACATTCATTCCCTCAGATAGGAATGCTCACAAGTTTAGTTTTTTGAAGTTCCAATTTAATGACAAAAAGAGTTCCTTATATGAACTTTCCCAGTATTTGTCGGCTCCAAAATATGCTGACATAAGTTATGAAATAAATTTGAAACCAGTTGCTTCTGCACTGTTGCTTGAAGAGTTCAAATTTATGAAGTTGGCAGCGGATATTTGGCCTGCAATCATGGTGTGTCAGCCATTGACTAAGTTTGTGCTGGACTATGAGGACGGTTCAGAAGTAGACAGATGTTTTGCTGCTGCTATACAAGGGATTCCATATTCCCTGTACAACTCATTTTTGGAAATGTTGTCGAAAGCCCTAAAACCAAAAGCCCAGCTAAGGAAGCAAGCCACTAATAATGCTTCAAGTGGTAGCGTTTATTTATTGCTATGCTCTTCTCCTCTTTCTCCTGCTTTGTTTGATGAACATCATTAGTTAAGTATAGATCAGCTGTTGAGCAAGCAATTCATATTACTGTTCCCAAGCGTTCTAAGACCTTTCGGAAATTTAAAAGAGGAAGGTTTAACAGGGGTACAGGACCAGCTGCTACGTTAAGTTATCAACCAAAAGGAAACTTTAGAGGAGGAGACAATTCAAGACATAATAGGGGTGGCCATTTGTTCAGAAGTGGAAGGAGACCTTATTCCACCACATCAGCAACCACTCCTTTCCAATGAAACCAGGCAGCTGGGTTGTCTAGGGGTTGGGAAAACAGGTGGACTTCTTCCATATGGGCATACAAGACAATCAAAGGGGGCCTCACATGGACTTGGTTGAGGCGCCCTCCCCTATTGTTACCAAAAAGGGGTCAGAAACCAACCCCCTTACTCACAGAATTTGTAATTCAACTGTTAAACAGAGGTGTAATAGAAATGTTAAACTCAGAGAAGTGTTTCATGTCTCACCTGTTCCCAGTCCCAAAGACACTAGCACCAAATTACCTGAACTTCTGATTTTAATCACAACTTTGTCATTTTAATTAATGGGACTTTGCATGAAGCAAATATGATTTGTGCTGCGTTTTATTAATGTCATGCACAGAAGTAATTAAAAAATATAGAGCAATTCTTCTAATAAACTTTTGGTAACCAAAATTTTAAGTGAATGGAACAATAAATGTTTGAATAATTTTTCATTATTCACAGGCAATTTTCAAATTTATGAAATGTCACACAAATATAACATAAATTTGGTACTGCAGAAAAGAACAATCAGTACAGTTCATCCAAGCATCACCAGGCACCACTGCCTAACAACATGTTGTGCAGTGTTGGATGTTTGCTGGTGAGGGCAAGACGTCTTTTGTTTCATTGTTTATTTTTTACACCTATCCATTGTGAGTTCCAAAAGAAAACCATCTTCAGGGATTATCTAAAAAAAATATATTGAGTTTCTCAAGCATGTGAGGGTTGCTTTCCCCAAAAAAGTTTTCAGAAACCAAAATTGTATAAATCAACAAGTATCTAAATGTAAAAACTGCAACACATTCCACACCATATAATACTGTGCGCAGTATTGTTTCAGTCTTTCGGAAGGCAGATAATTTTGGAATTTGATTGATCTACTTCAGGAACCCATATATATTTCATAAAATTCATCATGAATGTCACTTAAAAAAGTAATACCCAGTACTGTACTGTATATCATCAGGTTTGCAAACACATCTACCTCAACAATCTCCTACATTGACAATGTCAGATACTGCTATTGATATTTATGATTGCAGCTTCATTGTTAAAAAAAAATCAAGGGTGTCTAATCATAAACATTTTACAGCCATTTTCTTCACTTGCATGGATTAGACACAATCACCTGATGGCAGGTGTTGGGTAAAACCAGAATGGTATGTCCCCCTTCTCATCACCACTGCAAACATATTGTAGAGTGCCAGCACAGAAAATGCAGCAGAGACCACGGGATGGGCACAGCTCTGGTGAACCAGTTGCCATCAGGCAAGTTCTGGTAAAGTTTTACAACTGAATACCCTTCCTAACAACACCAACCCAACAATTTTCAAAATACAGTATTCTCTCCATCCCCCTTTCACTTCCAATTTTTTTCTATAGAGTATCAACCCTTTCAATTCCTAAAAAAAAAAAGTTTCTTCATTCCTTTAACCTTGTGACAACCTTTCTGCTCCTCTTTTGCATTCTTGCACCATTATCATTTCACTTTAAATCCATGTATTCCACTTTAAAAATATTCTACAAATTACTAAATTTTTTATTTACCTTCTACACTAGTACACCTAATTCCTTACCAAAAATATGTATCTCTCTTGATGATCTCCAGACCTAGCTGAGATTTTGATAATCTTGCCCTCCTTAATCAGTTCTCTCGTGGGAGAGACAAGGTCTTCGGCACCTCCTAAACTCTCTTGAATCTCAAGTAACTTTTCAAATTTATCAATCTTCTTCATGGCATCATTTGCATGATTTGCAGCTGTTGACACTAAATGTAGCGCCTCTGTTGAATGAAAAAATATACATCAAACACTATTTTGACTACTATGAGAGAGAGAGAGAGAGAGATAGTTAAGTGTGTGTGTGTGTGTGTTTAACTCCTGTATTCTCTTACTGAACAAACCTCCAGGTAATATTCTGGACCGTCTGGGATAAAATAACCTATTAGAATCCAAAGCCCACTTAACAGTGGACATACATCCCATCAGAAACAATTCAAAGAAAAAATGCCTTTGTCTGTGAAGCAGCACATCAGCTGGAAAGGGATAAACAATGCCTTTGTCTGTGAAGCAGCACATCAGCTGGAAAGGGATAAACAAAAATATTGCAATACCACACATGAGTTTATTCCAAGACATTACTTGTGTGCTAAGTTAGGACACCGACAAGTGGAGATCCCCGCGCTTCCTGCAAAGCCCCAAACTCCATACACAAAGGTAAGTTTTGTGTTTGAAAGTGAGTTAAGCCCCTTCAGGGCTATTATAGACCCTAATGGAAAGATTAATAATTGTTGTGCTGAAATTTTTCTAGATACCGTATGTTCCACTGTACTCATCAACCACATGTTTATGTCTCCTGAATTACGGTCGCAGCCACCCTGTACAGTGTATGACTTTCTTGGCAGACCAAAGCAATTCCCTACATCTATGATAGATATTAAGAGCAGATTTTTTTCAGGAAAGTTCCGTGTAGAACTCGCACCCATTAAGTTTACTGATGTACTACTTGGTCTTGTACCTGGTGTCAGAGTGCCTTCCTTTACAGTAGGGAGTGCTGAAGTGCCAGTATCATACTGGGATTTCCAAGGCTGACAACGGAGCGGTAGCAGGTGCTGTGACGATGCAATCTAATGCCAAGAAGTCTCAAGAACCCCAATCCTTATGGTCAAATGGTGACCTTTGTATCCCAACTGGTAAAATTGCCTTTCAGAAGGCACAGGCTGAGTGCAATTCCCTGAAATTAGTATGAGCTGCACTGAAAAAGGGTCAGACTAACAATCATCAGGGCAAGATGGTAAAGTAATGTATTGTCAACAATATGCTGTTGAGATTAGTAAAAAGTAACTAGTTGTCCCCAAAGTGTATAGAACTCATTTTTAACATTATCACACGAAAGGGTACTCTCGGGTCATTTCTTACACCACAAAACAACAGGGATAGTGTATCAGACGTTCTTAATCACTCAAGCAAAACACTCCTTGACCCCTAACTTTCTCATTGCCCCTTGTAGTTCCAAATATGACCCCTGTCAAATGTGATCTCTAAGTCTATAAAAATCAATTGAATCCCAACATGGAACTAAACTGAGGTTGAGAACTCGGAGTTATCTTCTAGATCAAAACTGAAAAGGAATGGGCATAAGTTTTGAGCAAAAAAATCAGGTGAGGAAAAAACTAGGCTAAAGTGGATCCCATTGGCCCAATAGACTGTTAGGATTAATATGGTTATAGTACATAAAAGAATCTAACCTCCAATACAAATCAATAACAGCTTTATGAATCTCAAATAATTGCATCACTGAGGCAATCTAAATAAATCACAGTACAAATACTGTGACTGAAAGGAGTGATCAGACCAGGAATAATCAAAGATGCAATCCTGAAACAAAATTGCCAGATCTACACACACTGCGCCAAACCCGAAAAACAAAAATCTTACTGAGATCATTTTTATCCTGTATCTGATTCCCATCCAGACCCAATTACTGTACCTCTTTAAGACCTGGTGGACTTCTAAAAAGAAGATCCACATTGTCTACAGTATGACATGAATCCAACCACAAGCCCTGATAATCTGAGGGCTGTGGAGTAATGCTCAAAATATAAATTAGCAAGACCACAATGTTGACAAGTAGTGTTCAGGCAAAGACAAAAACTTAAGCGAGTATCAGAGAGCACTAATACTGTCAATGTATGGAGTACTGACCCACAGTGCAAACAATACAATTCTACCTTATCAAGCCAAAATAATATCCAGAAACATTAATGAATTGAATATACAATTCACTCACAAAAGTTAATACAGTATTTTAAGAGAAATCGGGTGAACATCTAATTATTGTCAATGAGATCAATTGAGGGACTTGAGGTAAACAACTATTTAATCTCTAGGATCCAAACTGAGTAATGGGCCCCTGGAGCCGGGCCTACAGCTAATAGTGTACTGTATTTGGAAGCTGTAGCTCTAACTTCTGGGAAACCGAATTAACAGACTCAACTGCTCTTACTGCATGACTCAATCCAGACTTCACCAGGTATCCCACCCCTTGAAGAGTCACATATGTTTCATCACTGATAATAGGAGGCCTGGAAATAAATCTTCTTATGGATAAGTCAGGAGGGAATAGTATGAGGTTGGTCTGAACTTCTCCTAAAGTTAGATACTCAGTGGACCCCTTGCCTATATCCAAAATGGAATGTACTATACTGTACACGTACTCTAAAAAAATTATTTTGGACTCTACCAGAAAATTTTCCTACCCTGTAGTCAGATCTCCATGTTGAGTATAACTATTGACCTCAAATAAGCTGAGCTACAGGCCAGGATATATCTCATGCTGGAATATCTTAAGGCCCCACATCTTGCACATACGTGAAGCTCATGGGCCACGGAGCAAATGTAAGCATGAAACAACAAATGCAAAAATCCTGTTACTTGACATTAACATTAAGGGCTGTGCTGCACCAGCCCAACACTTAACAGTGCTAACAATGTGAAGAAAACAATGGTTAGCCCATTTGGCTTGGTAACTCACATACCAGTGTGGTGGCATGAGTTTATTAGCCTCAATACCTTCTTTAGTTCATCATGATAAACTATGCTTGTTTAATGACCATTTTTACCCTGCCTGTGATACAAGGCAAACTGATCATTAGGGTCCGAACTCTGAAAAGAGCATTATTCGAGTCACAAAATGGAGGTCATAAAGTTATACAAAGTCTCCTTTTGTATTGAGAAGTGAGAAAATAAAGTTTAAATTTGGCCAGGAAGGAACATATATATATATATATATTGCAGGATTTCTTAGTAATGGATCTTGTAGGAACTCAAAGCAAGGGAAAACTTTACATAAACTGAACATTCCAAGTAAGTACCAGTACTGTATGTCACTGTAAAATGAGTGAAACTTTTTACATTACAGGTATATCAAAGAAGCAAAGGGGATTGCATGCTGAGATAAATATCTTAAGTATAGTATTATTGTTATCTGGAAAATTTAAATAATCTTAAAAAGTTTCAAACTTCAATAACCTTGTTAAACTACTGTATACTGTACTCACTCTCTGTATCATGACGATCTGGCGAGTCCTCGGGTAGCTTTTTTAAATAATCTCGTAATAACATTTCATACCGGGGAATGCGTTGTACAGGTGAGAGCATATGATGCTGCAGAGTCAGGTTCCCACATACCTCCAAAGACTGGCAACAAGCATAAAAATATGGTTCATTACAACATTATCCCGCATTATAGAATATCAGGGAAAGTCACTGTTGGTAAAACAAAGCTTGTGGAATATGACATAGTGATAGTATTGGCTAATACATATTGATTAATTAAAAAATTAATGAAATGAGAGTATCTTTACCATTTTATTACCATTTTGTTTTAAGTTATCAAAAAGAAAAAAGAGGAAGGCAGTGATGTTTAAATGTGAGGAAGCAATGAAGATGATAAGAAGTGAGTAGCTGCAGCTATGATGAGCCAAAACAAACCTGGATGTCTTGATTTAGTGCTAAATACAATTAAGGATTAAAAAAAAATATGAGTTAAGAAAAATGTGAGGGTAGTAATGTCTGGACTGCTTGAAAAGGCAATGGTGAAGTGAGTGACGGCACTGCTGAGTGAATAAATGCCACCACCTTTTCAACAGTCAGCTAATTCTGATACAATTATCTAAACATTTTTCACAAATCTGAATGTGTTGTACAACAATCATAAGGAGGATGTAAATGAATGTTTTCAAGGGAACTTTTTTTTATTCTAATAATCTAAAAAAATAAATAAAAATCACAAAGTACAGGGCTGCCTCACTGATTGCAAAGGTTACGGGCATTAACTCGTTGCAAATATTGAAAATGCGAATAACGGAGCAATTTCTCCCATAAGAAATAAAGTAAATAGGGGGTATACGGGCATCACGGTGGTCACGGCCGTCAGATTTTAACACTTGTTTTACTCAATACATATAGAACATAAAATAAATAAAGAAACAAGGGCATAATATCAAATAAACATCAATAACAAACACTTTGAGTTTATTAGGCGTATATGTTTACAAGTACAGTATACTTTACATATTTGAGTGTGTGAGTGTTTAAATGTTTATGTGTGTAGGTGTGTGAGCTAAGTTTTAAACGTAGACTGTTAATTTACCTCTGATGTGCTGTGTTGCTTGCTTGTTGATGTTGGCATTAGGGGAGAGAGTGAAGGTTTACTGGGGTGAGAGGAGGCTGGGGTCGTCAGCCACCTCACTCTCCTCACTGCCAGGGACGTCAGCCACCTCACTCTCATCATCACTGCCAGGGTTGTGAGCCACCTCACTCTCCTCACTGCCAGGGTCATCAGCCACCTCACTCTCATCATCACTGCCAGGGTCGTCAGCCACCTCACTCTCCTCACTGCCAGGGTCGTCAGCCACCTCACTCTCCTCACTGCCAGGGTCGTCAGCCACCTCACTCTCCTCACTGCCAGGGACATCAGCCACCTCACTCTCATCATCACTGCCAGGGTTGTCAGCCACCTCATTCTCATTATCACTGTCAATTTGCACTGAAAGCTGTTGTTCTCCACTGGTTGAAAGCTGTGGTTCACTTGTTGAAGGCTGTGGTTCACTCGTTGAAGGCTGTGGTTTTACACTGGTCTTGAACAGCTGCCTAAAAGCTGTGTTCAGTATGGATGTACGTGGGGTGGTTGGTGCACTGGGGGTTGAAGGTTTGGCCGTGATAAATGCATCTAGAGTCATTTGTTATGCATTCTTCCTCTTCTCCTCAAGCACCTCGTAGTATGCTCGTATGTCTTTCTTGACATTACGGATGATAGTGCAACTTCGGTCAACATTAGGGTCCATTTCTAATGCTATATCCATCGCCATCTCAAATGAAGAAATCAGCTTCCTTAGGATCCGTACAGTGAGGAGTTGTGTTGGAGTTTCATCTGCATCTTCTCCCATTGCAAGTGGCATTTCTTCCTGCTGAAGCCTCTCCAGTTCTATCAGGTCTTCATTGTGAGAGTCGAGGAGGTCTTCTATGTCAGCGTCATCCACTTCATCGAATCCAGCCTTCTTTGCAAAAGTCACAATAGTCTTCCTTATTGCAGGCACTGAAGGGAAACTAATGGAGTTGTGCACATACTCGGGCCTCAGCTTACGCCACACACCGTTTATGTTCTGTTGTGTTGTTGTCTCCCATGAATCACTGATGTTTTTTATGGCTTTCCTAATGTTGTGTTTTTTCCAAAACTCCCGGATTGTAGGTTACCCTTCTCCATCGGTCCTCTCAATTAGCTGCTCCATGATACGCTAAGTGTAGAGCGCCTTGAATGTAGAGATGACGCCCTGGTCCATGGGTTGCAGCAAAGCCGTGGTGTTGGGAGGCAAAAACACAACTTTAATGTTCTTACACCAATCAACCATAGCTGGTTGATGATCTGGTGCGTTATCGATCACCATCAGAGCTTTATCATCAAAATTATTTTCCTTATTAAAGCAACTAATGCGACCGGAGACATAGTTGAACATGTAGTCGTGCATCACAGACCCTGTCACCCACGCCTTACGGTTTGAACGCCAGACGACAGGAAGTTGTCCCATCACAACCCCCCTCAGAACAAGGGGTGTTTCAGACCGGTACACAAGGAGAGGCTTTAACTTCAGGTCACCCTCAGCATTTCAACCAATCAATAGAGTGAGGCGGTCCTTGGCAACTTTGAATCCAGGTGCGGTCTTTTCCTCCTTAGATAAGTAGGTCCGTGAAGGCATTTTCTTCCAGAAGAGTCCGGTCTCGTCCAAGTTGAAGGCTTGCTTAGGACTGTACCCACCCTCCTTAATTATGGTTGCGAAAAGGATGGGAACTTCTCTGCTGCTTCGTGGTCGGCGCTAGCTGATTCTCCTTGTATTTTTAGGTTGTGGATTGATATACGTTTCCTAAATCTATCAAACCATCCACGGCTGGCACTGAACTCAGGTACATTGGGTTTATCTTTAGTTATATCTTTCCACAGTGATCTTGCCTTCTGTTGAATCATGCATTGCGATAAAGGCGTTTTAAGGCGCTGGGTCTGGTCGTCAATCCACGTGCTCAACATCCGCTCCCTACTCTCCATCTCAACATCACGGAACCTCGTTACCTTCGTTGCCGTCAGTGGTGTTGCAGACCCAGCCATCTCCTTGATCTTGTCGGCGCTTTTAACTATAGAATGCACTGTAGAGGGAGCCAAACCGTGCACGCGCCCAATCACTGACATTCCATCTCCGTGTTCATGTCTTTTTAGGATATCCAATTTCACGTCCAACGTAACTGCCACACGTGATTTCTTAGCAACATTGCTGGGAGTTTTAGCAGCTGGTCGCTTAGGCATTGCGAGAGCACACAAAACACAACTGCGAGATCACATAAAACACATGCCAGCACATGTGAGACTGAGGCGAGTAGGAGCGTATGGCGGAGGAATATGTACACACGCTGTCATACGCTATGGTTGAGGCGCGCAGTTCAAAATATTTACCTAGATTTTGCCAAGGCTTTCGACAGTGTACCCCATGAAAGGCTAAAAATCAAACCGGAAGGGTACGGAATTCGGGGAAATGTCCTAGCATGTTTAGAAGACTTTCTACATGACCGCAAGCAGTGTGGTGGTTAATGGCACGAAATCAGCATCTGTACCTGTCACAAGTGGGGTACCACAGGGCACTGTATTGGGCATGCTGTTGTTTGTTTGCTTCATAAATGACGTACCTGACGCTGAACACTCCTCTATACAAATGTTTGCGGATGACACCAAGTTATTTTGGGAAAGCAAGAACCAAGTGGACCGTGAAGAGCTGCAGAAGGATCTCTGTGAGCTCCAAGAATGGTAAAAAAAATGGCTGCTGAGATTCAATGTCTCAAAGTGTAAGAGGATGCACCTGGTGCATACCAACGGTAAGGAGGCGTATCATATGTCCCAATGGGATGAAGAAACTGTATTATTTGAGACTGAATGTGAGAAGGACCTAGGTGTGTATGTTGACAATGAGCTGAAGTTCTCGGGCCATTGTGAGAAGAAAGTAAATCAGGCAAATAAATTATTGGGTCGTATAAGGTCGTTCAGATATCCAAATGGTCCGTTCCTCGTAATGATCTTGAAGAGTTAAGTGCTTCCCCATCTGGTCCCCGAGATATGCTAGGGACTGTCAGTTGATTGAAAATATTCAAAGGAGGGCCACCAGACTGGTGCCTGCACTTCGGCACCTCAACTACCCTGAGAGATTGGAGCGCCTGAACTTGCCTAGCTTATACTACAGATGGGCAAGGGGCGACCCAATTAAGGTGTATAAGCATCTCAAGGGGAACTATTCAGTCGAGTGTCCTTACCTGTAGCTGGCGGACACTCGCCCCACAAGGGGTCACAGCTCAAGGTTGAAGAAGCCGCAGGTCCAGAAAAATGTGAGGGCAAACTTTTTCGGAGTGAGAGTTGTGAATTCTTGGAACAATTTGCCAGAAAATGTTGTGACGGCACCGAGTTTGAGCTCTTTCAAGACCAAACTTGACCAACACTGCAGCAGGTTCAGCAATTAAATGCCAGGTAGCGACGTGTCCTCCTAATATTACGTATTAAGTAATTATTAGATGTTTTAATTTCCTGTATGTTGGCCTGGCGAGTTATTGCTAGGCATTAACATACCTAGGTATAAGCTAGACGTCGCATTCTGGATTGAACAAAAAAGCAGTGCTGGTAATTGTTACCTTTTGAAAATTAGTAATTAATGTACAGGTATACGTAAATGGGCCGATAATTTTTTTTATAGTTGTATTTTGTAGGGGGAGGGGGGCTCAATAAGTTGCAACTTGGGATAATTCGGCAAGACCAGAGCCCCGTACGTGCTGAGTTATCAAGGTTTTACTGTACTGTATATTACAATTCACTATTTCATGTTAATTCTCGGACCAACTCACAATGCAGTATATCAAGGGTCTACTATACTGACAGTGTTTTAAAAAAAATTCTGGGTTTTAAAGGATTCATATGAAATGTTCAGTTGCTAAGTTTGTTTCACAGGTTAACAGTGCAAGTGTTTGCTCTTTCAAGTAACCTAAACAAATCTGTGATGAGAATGAGAAGTGGGACAAAACAATTTATCCCCAAGGTTATGATCTTAGTGATCTATGTCCACTTTGTCAGCATTCTAATCAACAAGGGCTCTGTGAAAGAAAGTATGCAGTTTTGAGGTGCAAGTTCAGTGATTCAGAAGAGAAATTACAAATACTGTATTACAGAATTAATTTGGAAGTGTGTGTTATAGAGGAAATTGATAGTGAATGTGAACAAAAGAAAAATTATCAAAATAAGATCAGGGAAACCGAAGAAATAAAGGTAAGTCTGCATGGAGACAGAACAGAGGGAGTGGAGTGTTACAGATCCCTGGAAGTACATGTGCTAGTAAATGAAACAAGTGATGAATTAAAACAGAGTAACAGATATAAATAGATAAACAGAGAATTGTATAGAGAGAGAGAAGTACCATGTCAAAGGAAGCAGAGTTGGGGATGTACTCTGGATGCCAGAGGTAGGAGCACACCCAAAGTGAAAGAAGTGATGTACTTGAGAACATGTTTGTTAAATACCGGTAAGATGTTGAGAATAAGAAATGAAAAACTATGGGGAATGTGTGGAAGTGAATGATGTGTTGGGCTAAAAGCAGACCAGCTCTCTTCAGGTAATATGAACATATTGAATGGGAAATGAAAAATATTATTAAAAACAATTCAGAGGTAAATGGTAACAGGGAAAGGAGATGACCAAGAAAATGATGGATGGAGTGAAATACAGTATAATATAGGACACTAGCAGTGAGGGGGATTGACATCCAAATAGCAGCAATGGTGGAAGGTGAGGAACATAAAAGAACACAACTTTTACTGCAATAAGAAGAATGAAGGAAATATGTTTGTGTGCATTTGTTCTTTTTTCTAGCCATCCTACATTAAGCAGGAAAAGTCTTGAAAGTTTAACAAAATAAAGTAATACACATATGAATAAATAATAATAATAATACAGTAATAATCGAGGTAAAATGCTAAAACTAACAATAAAAAGGAGTCAACAATATTAATGCTGCAATACAAAAGGTAAACAATGATCATGTACTACTATCCTGAACAATACATAACATCACAATTAAAATAATCAGATTCATATTAATTATGAATAGCTTCACTACCAGTGTTTACTGCAATACATATAGTGATAAGCACTACTATTTCTGTTAATAAAAACAACTAGCATATAATTTTAAACAGCAAGAAAGGTACACACTGTTATAAAAAATCTACTTACATGAATTTCATCCATGATGGCAGCAAAGCGAGGGCACTTTGATTGCCACTGGCTGATGAGTGTCATAGCATTATCAAAGTTCCGCACATACTCAGTGTACATCTTCAAGAAGGGGGCAAAGCTTTTCATGATATCACCTGCAACATCATATGATGGTAATTGATATCACTAAAAATTCAAGTAAAAACTCACAAAAACATTAAGAAGCACCTTGTTACATCTCTTAAAATATACACAGTACACATCACAGAGGGCCACATTCACACCAGTTGGCATAAGATGATGTTGAGAAATGATTGGTAAAATATGATGGGCCTTTAAAATATGAATAAGAATTTAACTACAATATATGGTAAGGTTCTGCTTAGTGAGCAAAATATAATATTGTAAAAGTGTCTGTTAGGTTAATTCTTGCTAAATAGGACCCATTTTCTCCATAGTATTCTGTGTTAACCCATTCATTGTGGTTAGTTTAAATTTCAAGAGCACTTTTAGTGCAGCTGCTTTCCTCTTGTTTAGTTACCAGTGTCATATACTGTAACTATACAGCAAATCTCCAATCAGAGGGTTAAAAGCTGAGATACCTTTCAGCCCAAAAAAGTTTTGCCCAAAAACCCACATTATAAACTGAGATGCACTCAGTCCAAAGAATTTTGATCCCAAAGCCTTATCTAACAACATTAAATTTGTATACAGTACTGATATAATAGTGGGAACTATATACAGTTTGTACTCACCAGAGAGCGAGCTTGATTTAGCCTAGCACTGTTGGTATAGAGAATGACTTTACGAGTACATAGCTCCCACATCAGTTCCAATTCTGGCTGGCCTATGTTCTTTTGTATATTTGTTGCTTATGTTATTTGGAAATATTGTAATGGTGGGTTCAATAATTGGAGTTTAGTAGTCACCCTTCATATCGTACCAAATTATTTGGTGGACAAACAATTTCATATACCTTTTATCACTTCTTACCTTTTGGTACAGTACCAGTAATGAGCTCACCATGTCATATATTAGTGAAAATATTTAATTTCTATTCTGTTCTAATAAAAGCTGAAAATTAAAATACTGTACTGTACTTGGAAACAGATGTCCATCTCACTCCCCAGTCTCATTTCTTGTATCATTTTAAGTGGTTAATATTTGTTATTGATTAAGACAACCACTGCAGTACCAACCAGGTACTTTTTAAGTAACAAAACTGCTTGTAATCCTTGGTAGTACTGTATATTGGCCACAAACCAGGGACTTTTATGTACAATAATAACAAACTGCATGTAAATTGTGGTACAGCATACAGTAGTGATTTGTATACAGAAAACATGATTTAAAAGGAACACCTGGGGAAGCTATTGCTTCTAGAGAGCATTTTGGTATCACTAGCTGTACAACTGGCTTATGATTAAATTTCACAGCAACACTTGTAAAACAATTTACAGCTCTAAATTGCGACAGTGAACTGATGAATATATTCATTGGTCCAAAGGTTCTAGCTTATGGACCAGTAGATCATTAAAACTTAGGACATTGGAATCTCCCCTGAACAGTCTCTAGTACAGCTGAAAATTAACCTTGTTTTGTCTACCAATGGTTTGCATGTAAGAGCATTATACTCTCTACATCTCTCTTGTTCAATTAACACAAAACATTAAAACCACAAATATTCCCCTGCTTTTGTCAAAACTATCATCAGAACTAACCTATCCTTCTGTTTTGTTCCCACTGAGCCATGCGTTCCTCCAGTTGTGGCAGAAGAAAGTCGTGGTGAAGTTTGTAGATGGATTTAACATTTGAAAACATGTGTGGAATAACATCTTGAGGGAACATATGGTGGGCTCGGTTTTCGTTATCTACCCGGAACTGGAACTCCTGAGAATTGGGAGGTGGCATGAATTAGTTTCAGGCATTATTTAATTTCTGGTTATATTCTAATATCACAGGAAAGTGGACCACTTTCTTAATAAATACAGTACAGCAAAAAAAAAGAGGAGAATTCAATTAATATACATTTTACATAATAAATATAAATTTATCTATTTATCTACTGACAATAGACAGCATACCTGATCAATCAGATGCAAGACCTTAACATATGTCCTCTCTGTATGTAGGAGCTCGAGGACAATCCTATATGCTTTATCCTTGCGGGCATCGAGTGCAGCAAGGTCATGGCAAGATTCCAAATCACTTGTCGTCAGTGAACTATGATCCTCCAAGTCAGATGGCTCTGTGCTCACAGCCTAAGGAAATTGGGTAAAACCAGTTTTGTCAACAAAATAACAACTGGGTAGGTTACCTTTGCAAAGAAAGTTGCTTCTTGTGATGCAAAGTCTGGTTCTGTAAGATAAGCAAAACAAACAGAATGAAACATTGTCTGCCAGTGACATACCGACTAGTAACCAGGTAACTCTACTGTGTAACACTCTTGTAGTAGTACTAAAATGATGGCTAAACAATTATTACTGGTCTATTCATCTACAATATGTTCCGGGGATGTGTTTATAAACATTCTAACAAGGGTTATTACCAAGTGAAAATGTCTAATGCAAATTATTGTCTCAACAATCTGGAATATATATTAAGTCAGATGGACAAGGGTATAAAATCCTCACCAGGGAGTTTGTCACTGAACTGTATTACTGTATGGCAGGCATGGACAACCCTTGGCCTGAGGGAAGGTCTGTCTAGATATCTGAATGACCTTCTTAGACGACCCAATAATTTATTTGCCTGATTTACCTTCTTCTCGCAATGGCCCGAGAACTTCAGCTCATTGTCAACATACACACCTAGGTCCTTCTCACATTGTCTCAAATAGTGCAGTTTCTTCATCCCATTGGGGCATATGATACGCCTCCTTACCGTTGGTACGCCTCAGGTGCATCCTCTTACACTTCGTGACATTGAATCCCGGCAGCCATTTCATCGACCATTCTTGGAGCTCACAGAGATCTTCTGCAGCTCATCACAGTCCGCATGGTTCTTGATTTCCCGAAATAACTTGGCGTCATTGGCAAATATTTGCATGGAGGAGTGTACAACGTCAGTCATGTCATTTATGAAACAAACAAACAACAGCGGGCCCAACACACTGTCCTGTGGTACCTCGCTTGTGACAGGTACAGATAATGATTTCGTGCCATTACTTACCACACACTTGCAGTCATGTAGAAAGTCTTCTATCCAGACTAGGACATTTCCCCAAATTCCATACCCTTCCAATTTGATTTTCAGCCTTTCGTAGGGTACAATGTCGAAAGCCCAGTGCTTGTCAAGCCTGGTCTTCAAAGAGCTCACACTTGGTGCCGTCACAACACTCTCTGGCAGATTTTTCCAAGAGTTCACAACTCTCTCCCCGAAAAAGTTACCCCTAACAGTTAACTGGGCTTGCGGCTTTTTCGCGTTCAACCTTGAGCAGTGACCCCTTGTAGAGCGAGCGTCCGCCAGCTCCAGGTAAGGACACTCGACTAAGTAGTGCGGCTAGTGCCCCTTGAAATGCATACACCTCAATTAGGTCCCCTTTGCCCGTCTGTAGTATAAGCTAGGCAAGTTCAGGCGCTCCAACCTCTCAGGGTAGCTGAGGTGCCGAAGTGCAGGCACCAGTCTGGTGGCCCTCCTTTGGACATTTTCAATCAACTGACAATCCCTAGTATATCTCAAGGACCAGATGGAGTGACAGTACTCCAGATGGGGAAGCACTTCACTCTTGAAAATCGTTACGAGGGATGGACCGTCTAGATATCTGAACGACCTTTTAAGACCTAATAATTTATTTGCCAGAGAACTTCAGCTCATTGTCAACATACACACCTAGGTCCTTTTCATATTCAGTCTCAATTAATGCAGTTCATTCATCCCGTTGGGACATATAATACGCCTCCTTACTTAAACATTCCACATTTCATATCTTTGAAATATTTGTTTTAATACTGTTTTACTTTGATTCCGTAGTATGTTTACTATTGCGAGTTTCCTTTTGTTGAATGTAAACAAACTCAGGGCTGCCACACTGCACAAAACCTGACGAGCCCCTGTAAACGCACTAGTGAAGGGGACTGTACATTCTGACATGCCACTTACAGTTTTGCCCAATTATTTTAGAGCAGCACGCTAACCTACCTGATAACTTTAACCTATACGCTATTTTGAGATTGAGTAGTTACTTTCCAGCCAATTTATAACTTGGGTTTCTCTTTATGCTTTCAAATCATTATCTTTTTTATACGAAACTATTGATACTTCCACATCTTGACTTCATCATCTTCAGTGAATAGAGAAAACCATTGACTTGCCGATCGACTACAGAGCAGCACAGACGAACCAAAAATTGGACGGTCTTTGCATGCTGAATCGTCAGAAATATATATAAAGCTGTGCATCCGGACAGAATTGTTATTGGAATCTCAACTCTTCCCAATAAAACATATCCAGCTGCAGCAGTGGCAACGTAGAAATGTCTTTACTGCCTAATGGTCTATACTTTGCTTGTCCTGTACTGTACTTAACATTCTTTATACAGTAGTGAAATTAAAAATTATATAGCTCGGTATTAGGTAGAATTACTGCCTGTCTCTGGATCTCTTATTATAAAGATAGGCACTATTTTCGTGCTTTCACAGCCCTTACACCACCAACCGAATGAAAGCCAATAAATAGCTTGGGGTTGATAAATACTACGTCTGTGGCAAGAAGGAAGACAATTTGAAATCTTCGTGGTCACTGCCATGGTATGTACAGTATGTACAGTAGCTAAAACAACTATCTGTGCACGTGGGGTCAATATGCTCCGAAATTTTACGTGTGACTAGTGACAGCCCTCATGTACCAAAATTCATCGTCCATGGTCGCATATTGTTTCCCACAAAATATGCACAAATAGCTGCTTTAGCTACTGTACATAATCCCAGTTTAATGCACTGTCCAGAAACCTCAGGCACTGGAAGTAAACTAAAGATTAGAGGAGCGGGACATAACGTTTCAAAAGTCTTCCATGTTCTGGGTGGTGGCAGTGTCAACAACCAGGCCAGGACAATTACCCTTTCTTCGTTAAATATGTTTGATCTTGGTCCTTCTTGGACAATGTAAACCTACTGACTACATTTACTCACCGTTGCCATGGTATTAAACTGTTTTGGGTTCTTCACATTCTATTACAGTGGTCCCTCGGCTAACGAGCACCTCGGTTAACGAGATTTCGGTTAACGAGATTTCGGTTAACAAGTTACCTTCCATAAGATTCTTAACTTCGGTTAACGAGCAATCCCTCGATTAAAGAGTTTCTTACAAGCCAACCTGAACATGATTTCGCTTGCATTTGGCAGTCCACCAGCTGTAGTATTAGTCAGCCAATACAGTAATCGGTTCTAGGGCTTAAATTCCTTACCATTTTAGCAAATATCAAGAAGTTTATACTGTTCAATAATTTTAAAAGTTTAATATTAAATTTTTTACTCATTTTAACAATTATTGAACATAATTGAAGGTAATGAAACTAGTTTTATGCGTGCCATCCAGCCTCTCACACACCATACAGGCGTCAGTCTTTGTATCTTTTCAGTGGAGGTAACATCTTGCTTGAGACTCTCTTCAACTAAATGCTTTTTTCTGTTTTTGCAAGCAAATTATTGGTCATTTTGAAATTTATTTTACATATTGACAATATATAATTCAGTGCAGTGTTGATTTAAAGAAAATAATCTTGAATTGCACCAAGAGAACTAAAATTTTATGGGTGAAATGGCGCCATGGGGTGACTTCTCTTCCACCCCAATGCCTTCTCTTCTCCCTTCTCCTCTACCCCCATTCTAATTCCCATCATCATCATCCAGGAGCCTTCTACATACACACCTCAAAGTAAGTGTACTTTTCTACCTTTTTTGTTGAATTTAGGCAATTTTCGGTGAGCTGGAACCAATTACCCAAAAACCCATTGAAACAATGGTTTCGGTTAACGAGTTTTTCGGTTAACGAGCAACCTTCTAGAACGGATTGTGCTCGTTAACCGAGGGACCACTGTACTGGTTCTGATCTAATACGAAAATTTCAAATATTGTTTTATGGCGTTTTCCTTCTTCATAATAGATACTTTAGAGTTTTGACAGTAAACTAGACAAGAACCTCATGCATCACTTACCCACGGAGGACAGTGTTCGCAAATTAACATGCCAGGGTTCCCGAGAAAACTGAAAATTCTGTTGGGCAATACAAATTTACAGGCTGCCTCGCCTGACAGGCAACCATTATTTTTTCAATAAACTTGTCACTGCTATAAGATAAATTAAAAGTATTTAAAATGCACAATATCCTCTGGCATCACCGTATCACCCTCTATTTTAGGTCTTATAAGGCTATTTGTGAAGCCTAATGTGGAAATGTACTATACTATTAGGCAATCTACAGTACTGTACATCAGTGGAATAACAACATCCAGAGTGGACAATTTATGTCAGTGGTTCCCAACCATTTGTAGGCTCTAGGCCACATTTGTCAATGTGAATATAGTGGAGGACGCCAAAGCTTTGGGTCAACATTCAAGATATTTTTTTTTCTTCATATTTACAGTTATTTTCAATTTTACACAAGTCTAACTGTTACCAGGTACAGTTCCCTTCACTACTAGTGCATTTACAGGGGGCTCATCAGGTTTTGTGCAGTGTGGCAGCCCAGTGTTGCTTACATTCGACAGAAGGAAACTCGCAATAGTAAACATACTATGGAATCAAAGTAAAACAAAACACAAAAATCTCAATGTACCGGGGTAATTATTTGTGGAATGTTTATATGACGAGCCCATGTAAACGCATTAGTGAAGGGGACTGTACATAATTTTTTCTCTCTCTGGGGTAAATACACACGTCCTGTACACGACAGACGCGGGACAAACGCGCAGTTCCTTCTCTCTCTCTCTAAAGTCGTTTCAAGTTACCGGGTATTTCATATTTCCATTATTTTCTAATAAACCCTTTGCGGGCTCCATAATGTGGTTCGGCGGATGCCAAGGGGCCCGCGACCTACAGGTTGGGACCACTGATTTTTACCTCTTCACAATACCACTACTATCATATTTCACATTACAGTTTACAATATAATTATAAATGCTTGAAACATTACCGGAAATCTTACCAGAGTATTAGAAGAAAATATTATTTGCCTCAAAAAAGAAAGACCATTTTTGCTTCAAATGTTTTTGCGGGAAAAGTCAACGATCTGTTAACTGTATGATCGATCTGCTGGTGAATGTATATTATACTGGTGGGTACCGAGATGATTAGACCATTAAGGATACATAGCACTTATCCATATTATCTACCTATAAACATGGGTAAGGCTATTAATTTTGTGAATTAAAAGTATGGTGGGAGTCAAGTTTACACGCAGGCATCTACGTTTTATTTATTTCAATGGGAATTTCAGTAGGATGTGTGGTTTTGGTGTATTGTTTCATTAGTAATGGGAATCATATGCGGTGATATCATGCCGCATCATAAAGAGTGCCTGGCTAAGCTTAGCTTGGCGAAGTTGCACCTGGCTGCGGCTGGAATACAATTATATGCTTAAAGTTATACAGTACTTAAAAAAAATAAAGAGAAACAAACAATTGAGAGTTTTAATGCTTTTTTTTATTACATACGTACTAGCAAAATTGCACGGCTTCGCAGTTTGCACGGGTTAGGTACATACTGTACAGGTACTGTATAATTCTGACTGTCACAGTTTGCCTCCCCTGGGTAACCCACCTCACGCAATCTACGTGGTGATATCTCAATCAGGAAAAATTTTTGGTTCCTGCCTGACCACTCAGGAGTCGGTGGTCAATAGTATACCAGGGTACGCAACCTTGGGACACTGATGACACCTCTTTATTATTACAGAATTTAGAAGATATTTTCTTTGAAATTTGTTATCTCGAACAATATAAAGTGATTGAAATTCCTTTTTGCGTTTAAAGAGGTTTCCAAAACAAATAAAATAATTATTATTTTCTTAAAATCAACCCTTTATTCAGACCAATTAAAAATAAATAAATTTCATGACACAAATTTTACATTGATAGCCAATCAATAAACCAGCATGACGCTCTGGTTGATAATGTCTTTAAATCACTGGAACTGAATCAATTCACTTTTATCTATGCCCTAATTTCTGTCTTTCAATTCTGATAAAATAATAAATAAATAAAACATTTATTTGGAACATAAATTAAAGAAATAAACATTAATGTCCTGTATTGTGGAAGGTGTAGGCCTTCTTTTACTTCATAATTAATAAGCAGTGTAGAAAAAAATATATTAAAGAAATTTAATTAAAGTGACTTGTATCTAATATACTATAGGACTAGACGTGTGTCTGTCTGTCTGTCTGTCTGTTCTGGGCAGCTGAAACGGCACAATCGTTTTTCATCAAACTTGGTGGAAAAATCGCAAAAAATTCGTACAGTGGAACAAACCTGGTCCCATGTCGATGGTTTCATTAGGAAGGCATTAATTAACAATTATAATTACGATGGAAAACAATGCAAGCCTACGGACTTGGCGCACCCTAATTAACCATGCAAGTCTACGGACTTGGCGCACCCTCATTCGCTGTACGCTAGCCCAGCACGAGCGTTCAAACTTTCACTGGGCACGAAGGTGCCCGCGATCTCTTGTATAAGCTAAAAAAATAATTTATATTTGGGGAAGGGGGTGACTCCCGAATTCATGAATTATGTGGGGAAAACACTAAAAAAAAAAATGATTTTGTTGGTAAAATAACCTTTCTTCGCAAGTCCCTACATCACAATTTATAAAATGGTGGCAACTATATAATTACGATACAGTACTGTTAATTTGCGAAAATATTAGTTAAACCCATGGTATAATGTTATACCTGTATATGCTGTCATATTCACCCTCCCACTGACGCACGCGCACACACACACACACACACACACACACACATATATATACTCCGGCTACATCAACGCTCTCTCCACCCTGGAAATGCCATCCCAGTGACCTCCACCACCAAGCACTAGCAAGGTTTGGCAGTGGACTACTGCACCATCCTCGTCATCGCCACCTCATGCCACCGGCAGTCCCCCCTCCCACCTCACGCAGTCCGCCACTACAACAAAATTCAGCCCATAAGAGCCCGCACCGATAGATATAAGAATAGCACCATCTTATCTATTGTTAAAATAATAAACAACTCCTGATTTATGTACTGTACAGCCCTGTAAATGTATTCAATGCATATCATTATGTCTAAATCAAATGTAAGTTTGTATATTTTCAGCCACTGGCTGCAACTCTTTTAATAAACAGTTTATTATTATTACACTTCTATTACTATTACTACACACACACACACACACACACACACACACACACATTTTCACACACACACACACACACACACACACACACACACACACACACACACACACATTACTACTACTACACACACACACACACGCATTACTACTACTACACACACACACATTACTACTACTACACACACACACACACACACACACATTAATAGTTTTTCCTTTATTCTCTCTTTTTTATTTCATTCATATTTACCTGCGAGTTTCTCTTGGACTCGGTGTCCATATCAGAGAGTGGAGAATGTGATCTTGACATCCTAGAGGGTGATGATGGGCGGGACTGTGGGCGGGGAGTGGTAGGCGTGGTGTGGGCAGGGTGGATGGTGATGGGCGCGGCATCCTCCTCTTCATCTTCGCTCTCTGTTTCACTCACGCCGTCACCGAAGGATTCGCTGAAGAACTGCGTCTCTGTACAAACTCTGCAAAACAAGAACGGGGATCAATAGCCCATCACAGTCAGCACTGATGGTCTGCCTAGTAAGGAGGTTAAATTTTCGAAAATGTTTGTTCGTTTTTATAAAGCAAAGAATACCGGTATACCTTCTGGAGATGTCGAAACACCCGATACAGCATAGAAAAGTTGACTTACTCGCCAATGTCATACAGCATTTGACTTCTAGGATTGCCTCCCCGGCCCTACTGCTTTCAGTCTCTCAACTATGGAACACAACGATTTCCAGCTACTTACTACATGAGCATAATTAGAGCAGACATTAGCAGCGCCTCTGTAAACTTATCAGTGAGACCAATAAAACAGGAATTTACATTAGTTATACATGTATATATTGTCATAATTCCCGTTTCTTGCTCTATTAGCCTCGTGAGTGCATCGCAAAGTTTCTTAAAGATTTTTACATTCGAGAATTGGTTAAACTGGATACAAGGATGTATCAAGCATCCACAGAACGATGTGTGCAGAAAATTGTACAGTTTAACTAAAGTCTTGGCTTGTAAAGCTTTAAAAGCCTGTCCTTTGTCTGTGCTTGCTCAAATAGAAACAAGATGTCTCAATAATGTCTGGGTATAGACTCTTGCCCATCAATTTAGGCACATTTAAAGGTGGCAGCACACTGGGCACTTTCCTCCCAACATGTTGGCTGCTGGCCTGATGGCCCAGCAAGCAGTAGGATTTCGGCTGTTGCGAGAAATGGACAACTGTTTGGCGGCGAACTTTGCTGCTCGGATTAGTGCTCAATGAGCTTCATTTTAAGTGCTGAATATTTAAATACAAATTGAAAGAAATCATGAAACAATACTAATTTAAAATCTAACACATAAAAAGGTGTCATGTTTTTATTTACTCACTTTAAAACTTTTTTAGTATTATTAAATCATAATTCAGGATCAGACTAGCCAGCTGCCGCCACTTGTAAACAAACTTCATGATGCACCCACTGTCTTTTCTTCAGCATTTGCAGACACCTCACTTGGTTTACCGATTGAAGAACTGTAGCACAATTCTGCAAGGCCTCAACTACTGTAAAGAGATCCATGGCAAACCTCGTCTAGACGCTTTGCTATTGTTTTCGTTTTGTTGGGAATGTGCCAACAAAACATCCCAGTGTGACGCAAACGCCTCTTAGTTCAACTGGCCGAACCATGTTGGCCCAGCACGGTTAAGAGGAAAAGTGCCCTTAATAGCTTGAGATGTTCCCCGTAGTTCAATCCCCTGAGAATGGTGACCAACTTTGTCTCACCTAAATGAACAAAAACAAAGACTCCCTTTTCTTTTCCCAAAGTGTCGTGGACACAACGCTCCTGATAATAAATAGGGAGATGAAGCCTGTGCGCTGGATAGCTTCAAACATAGGTTAGATGGATATATGAGCGATAGGGGTTAGGTATAAATGGGACTGCCCAGTATGGGCCAATAGGCTCGCTGCAGTTTCCTCCATTCTTATGGTCTTATGCTCTTAATACGCCTGGCATGTGATAATCTGTAAATAATTTTTTTTCTTTTTTAGAGCATTACGAGGATAGGGTTTCAACAAATATACACAGGGTTGGTAGGCCTCGTCCCTAATCAGAATATATTCTGGTGTACTCGTGAACCTTCTTTGATCTTGGAGACGTTCCTTGAAGAGATGGTGAAATTCGCCTACTTTCATCAAGCATCCTTCTCTGATATGTGAGATGTTTTTTCCTGGGTAGCTCTACAGGTGAACATTCGTGGAAAAGATAAATCTTGATAAAATCACACAGGAAAGGGGAAACACTGGAGCAACTTAGGTTTTGTATTTATTCAAGACATCTTCAGAGGCAACTGAATTTACAGGGACTGAGAGAGGCTTATATACAATAGGTAACATTACATAACATCAGTTCAGGTCAATAACATGGTACCCACTAATCCACACACCGCCTCCATCGTAAATGAAAGAAGAGCTTGTAAAAATGGGTGACAAGACAACAGGTCAGATCAAGTAAAAACCATGAGACCCACTAATCATCTACCCTACATCCAACTCAAATGCTTTGAAAGCATTTTTAACCTTAGGCCACTGACAAATAAAATTGTGTTACGTATCATCAGTTTTGTACTGACCATCACTAAGGTTTACAAAATTAATTTCCCTAATCAGACTTGCTTCAACTAGAAGTCTTTCTGTGACACGCTGATTTAAACACTTCTATGCAGTTTTCACAATCCATGATATGATTATTGTTCCTTATATGAACGAAAAGTGCACTGCTTTCAGATGCTGTTCTAATATTATACTTGTGTTATTTTATTCTAAGTTGTAATGCTTTCTCAGTCTGACCTACATAATTTCCATTACAATTGCTACATGGAATACAGTAAACATTTACATTTAAGGTTGGGCTATTCTTAATTAACATACTAGTAATAGTTGAGCCATACTTAAAAACAACATTTATGTTTGGTACTTTGAGGGATTGAACTAACGGGGCAAATTCCTTGCGATAAGGTACAGACAAAATATTCTTAAATGTTGGAACTTGTCTAGTACTAGTACAATAAAGGGATTTTTTTGCAATTTTAAGACAACGGTCAACAATGAAAGGTAGCCAAGTTTTTGTGCAATGAACTGAATGTGTTGTAGTTCCTCTTCAATAAATTCAGAGTAAAATATTCGCAAATATCTCAAAAACATAGCAGAAAAACTGACATTTTGGTAGACTCATGGTGACTCGATAAAAAATATATGAAACTCTACCTTTGTAGGCTTTCTGTACACCTTAAATTTATAGTTGTGACCATTTCTCATGAGAAGCATATGAAGAAATGGAAGGAATCCATTTATTTCTCTTTAAATTTTGAAGGTAATACAGGTACTAGGGACAAGATCATTAAGCTTGTCCAAAAATTCCAGTGGGTCCCAGTTTCTAGGCCAGAGACAAAGAACATCATCTACATATCTATACCATGGAGGAATAAAATCACCTATGTTGGGTAGTAATCTAGCCTAAAAAAAAATCCATATAAATACAGGCTAAAGGAGAAAGACATTTACCCATACTCATGCCAAAAATTTGAATATAAAACTTTCCATTTGCCCTAAAAACATTGTCAGTAATGCATAACTCTATCAATTTGAGAAATATGTCATGTTCAATAGTCAAATTTAACAGATGCAATTTATCTTAAAGGAATGAAAGTAGGTCATTCACAAGTACTCTAGAGAAAAGCGAATTTACATCAAAACTTATGAACTCAAATGGTTCATTGTGTTTCTTGAGTTTATCAATTAAATCACTGCTGTTGCATATATGCGAATTAGATAGCTGGCCTGTAAGAGGGGATAGCATCCTAACCAACCACTTGGAAAATTTGTAAGTAACAGAATCCACAGAACTCACGATAGGACGTAATGGATTATAAGGCTTATGTGTTTTGATCAATCCATACATATGAGGTAAAGTGAGATTGATTTGTGAGAACTGTTTGATGATATCTGGGTTCTTTTTCAATAACTCCTTCATTTTAGAATTAGATAATTTATTAAAATTTTCCAGGGGACCCTGACCTGTTGTTATGTGTTATGTGTTTGCGATGGAGGTGGTGTGTGGAATAGTGGGTCCCATGTTATTGACCTGACCTGAAGTTATGTAAGGTCACCCAATGTATATAAGCCTAAAAAATTCTGGCAAAACATCAACAAACTACTTGGCACGAAAAAAAGACAAACTACATTAAAGATAAAAGTAAAAAAAAGTAAAAAAGACCAAAACGGACAAAAACTCAGTGTAACAGCACCATTTGTATTACTGTATATAAATATGTACCCAAATGTACAATACCAAAGTATTCACTAAGTTATTCAACAATGACTCAGTAGTTATTCACCAAGTTATCAACTGTGTTGATGTTATGAGATGCTGAGGTGAAATTTCCTTTGGGGAGCGAGCGAGGGCAGACTGAGGTCAGCGCAAATCAGCAGCAACATATCTGACGTGTTTCCTCTCTAGGCCAGTTCGCTCACTCTCCCTAGGTCAGTGACAGAGACAGAGAAAATGAAAGTTTTGACAAAGAACAAAAAGAGTTAATTAAAGACTGGCTATGAGAACAAAGCAATAGGCTGACTCTCTACCACACAGGAAGCCCAGAAAGACTAAGACCCAATAAATTCATAAATTAAGATGAACTATTACACTGCCTACGCAAATTTAAAGAAAAATCCCCTGGAATGAGCGGCATAACCCAAAACATGTTATTAAACCTGCCCAAAGAAGGCAAGGACCCAAAACAGATAATAAACTATAGACCTATATCCTTACTTTTTTTTTTTTTTACGGGGATCAGCCCACCCGGGCACAGATCACTGACCCACATCGGGGCCTGGGGGGGAAAATGTAATGATAACAATGATAATGATAATGATGATGATGATGATGATAATAATAATAATAATAATAATAATAATAATAATAATAATAATAATAATAATAATAATAATAATAATAATAATAATAAAGAACCATAAATAAATGCAAAAATAAAATAAAAATAAAAAGTGAGAAACAATATATGTAAGTTGTGTTGTCAATAGTAAGAGAAACAATTGAGACCCTGCAATTGTGTGTAAATGAGGCAGGAGGCAGAAGTCAGATCAGCAACCTGGGACTTGGTCACAATTTTCGTGATGCCATATGGCAGCAGGGTTTACCATTAGACAACACATTATGCTTCCAATATCTTCCCAGGGAAACTCTTGGAACGCATAAATAAGTTCCTGGCTAACCACAACAAACTCAACCCAAGACAACACGGCTTTAGAAGAGGGAGAGGAACCCAAACGGCAATGGCAATAATAACAAATCATAGCCAAAGAAAAACAGCAAGGAAACCAAGTAAACATAGTCTTAAGAGATGTAGCAAAGGCATTTGATAAAGCGTGGCACAACGGACTAGCATATAAAATACTAAAACTAGACCTACCTGCAGAAATAGAAGGAA